CACCAATGTTTATAGCAGCTGAATTCACAATAGTTAAAGTATGGAACCGACCTAGATGTCCATCAATAGACGAATGGATAAAGAAACTGTGGTATATATATACACAAAGGAATAAACTGTGGTATATATACACAAAGGACTACTACTCAGCATTAAAAGAGAATAAAATTATGGCATTTGCAGTTAATGGGTGAAGCTTGAGAATATTATGCTAAGCAAAGTAAGCCAATCCCAAAAAGCTAAAGGCCAAGTGTTTTCTCTGATTAATAGATGTTGATCTATGATGGAGGAGGGACCATAAAAAGAATGAAAGAACTTTAGATTGGGCAAAGGAGACAGTGCGAAGGGATTATGAGGATAGGAAAGATGGTGGAATGAAATGAGACATCATTACCCCAGGTACAGATATAATTGCACAAATGGTGCATCACTACACCAGGTACAACCAAAGAATTGAAATGTTGCACTCCATCTTTGTACAGTGAATTGAAATGCATTCTGATGTCTAAATGCATCTGTCTACTTGTATAACTAAGTAGAACAAATTTTAAAAAATTTAAAGCCAAAAAAAGAAGAAAACACAAAGGCTTCTATAGCACAAGAATTAAAATCAAGAATCAATAAATGGGATGGATTCAGACTAAAAAGCTTCTTCTCAACAAAATAAAAAATTAATGAAGTGAATAGAGAGCCTACAGAATGGGAGCAAATTTTTACCACATGCACATCAGATAGAGCACTAATCTCTAGGATATATAAAGAAGTCAAAAATCTTAACACCCCAAATAACCCAAGCAATAAATGGACCAAGGAACAGAACAGACACTTCTCAGAAGATGTTATACAATCAATTAACAAATATATGAAAAAAGATGTTCAACATCTCTAGCAATTAGAGAAATGCAAATCAAAACTACTTTAAGATTTCATCTCACTCAAGTCAGAATGGCAGCTATTATGCATACAAACAACAAGAAGTGTTGGCCAGGATGTGGGGGAAAAGGTACAGTCATATTGCTGTTAGGACTGCAAATTGGTACAGCCAATATGGAAAGCAGTATGGAGATTCCTTGGAAAACTGGGAATGGAACCACCATTTGACCCAACTATCCCTCTCCTGGGTTTTATACCCAAAGGACTTAAAAACAGCATACCACAGGGATACAGCCACATCAATGTTTATAACAGCACAATTCACAATAGCTAAATTGTGGAACTAACCTAGATACCCTTCAGTAGATGAATGGATAAAGAATATGTGGTATATATACACAATGGAATATTACTCATCATTAAAAGAGAATAAAATCATGGCATTTGCAGGTAAATGGATGGAATTGGAGAATATTATGCTAGTTGAAGTAAACCAATCCCCCCTCCAAAAAAAATGTGGAATGTTTTCTCTGATATAAGGATGCTGATTCAGAATGGGGATGGTGGGGTGGGAAGCATGGGAGGAATAGATGAACTTCAGATAGAACAAAGGGAAGGGAGGGGAAGGGAGGGAGCATGGGGGTAGGAATGAAGGTGGAATGAAACAGACATCATTACTCTAAGTACATGTATGAAAACACAAATGATGTGACTCCACTTTGTGTACAACCATACATGAAAAAATGTGCTCTATTTGTGTAATATGAATTGAACTGCATTCTGCTATAACAAATTAGAAAAAAAAATAAACCAAAGATTCTGAAACTGAATGGAAAAAACCTCAAATTTGAATGAATGAATCTAATGATTCATCAGACTCAGTGTTAAATAGTACCTCTACTCAGACAATGAATAATAATGATCTTGAGATACTTCAAGATCCTAATAATGAAAAATAAAAAGAATCAGAACTAGAAGTGAAGAATAATGTCAACAATTCTCTACTGCCAATGAAACTTTAAATCTTGCTTAACATAATCATTATTCTCATATTTAAATATCTTGAAAAAATAAATAAATAAATAAATATCTTGAGTTTTGAGAAAGTTCATTTTAGGATGTAGAATACCATAATAGACTATCACCATCATTCTAAAAATGAGAAAAAAGTCATAGTATGTTTTGAAACCATATAAGAGCTTAGTGGGCAAACCAACCAAGTAACCTGAATTCCAAAGTGTAAGGAGCCCCTCCAAGCAACTTACAAAGAGAGATACATTATAATTTGTTTCACCTTCAGCAAGGCATGAAAGGGAAGACAGCAACCAGGGAGGTAGGTAAGAAAAGCAAAAACTTAACAAATTCTTAAGATTCCAGGTATATAAATTGTAGACTTACTTCAATACATAATAAACCTTAGAATCCTTCTTAATAACAAAGTAATTTTTAAAAAAGGAAGCACTGACATTTAGTATGTGTCTGCCATATTCAAAGCATGGTGCTAGCACTTACTATGCTTAATCCAACAAAATTTCACAATCTAGTAAGAAAGGATGGTATCCTTGCTTAATAAAGGGGAAAATGGCATAGAATGAATAAGTACTTTGCCCAAATTCCCATACCAGTAAGTAGCAAAGCCAGAGGCATCCTGACTTGGATTGCAATCCAGCTTGGATGGCAATTACATGTCTCATCTCCAATCCAGATATCCTTTCTTGCTGTAATTTAAATTGTTTAAATAACTTCTTTAGTTCAGTTTTCTAGTGGACAAATTAAAAAAATCATTCTCCTATTAATTATTCTTTTATATATACAAGACAAAATGCTAAGAAAATCTTGTTTAATGTACAATTTAACTTTTTACTTTTCAGGTATTGTAACTTTAATTGATTTACAGAAATATATGTCTCATCTACACAGGAAAAGTAGAAAAGAAAACAGAGCAAAGGAGAACCCTTTTCTTCTTTCCCCAGTATCTGTCCATCACACAGCATTAAATTGAAAATAACTAAAGGTCTAGTTTAAAACTAATCAAGGGAAAAGAATCTTTCTGAAATTTGACAGGTGAAAACTTTTGCTTTGTAATTTCCCTCAGTCTTTGGTGCCTGAAACTAAATAATGTGAGAATAAAACTAAACGAATTTTAAAATTCACTTCATGCTATGATGGCATTAAGGTAAAAGCACATCATTCTTCTACTTAAATGAAATCTCTTTTATAATAATTGATAATCAAAACTGAAACTACCAACTACTAGTAAATTATGCTAGTAATTATTTATGGTTGCCAGTCCTTTTAGGCCCCTCCTAAGGCCTACTAATATTGATCAATTTGTAACTATGCTGTGATTTTGACTATGCATAAATGATATCACTCTTGCTATTTCCAAGCATCTGATGTTTCATGATAAACACTTTTCTGATTTACAAAGTAACTTTTAATTCTATCTGAAGTTTCCAGAGTATTAGAAACTTTTACTTACCCTAATGTCATTTGCAGTTATAAAAATGTAACTCTTTTGGATACTGATCTATCAATTCTAATACTAGAAATATGGTATATGCAGTATGCCAAATAAGATTAAACTGACAAGATTAATCAGGAAACTAAAATATGATACATTAGTAACAATCACAATGCAATACTTTTAAAAAAGGAATCAGACAGCTGTCTCTATGTAGCTAGTAATTTCAAATCTTCAAATCAACACAATTTATGTATGTTTAAAAAGTCATGTGTACCTATTTAAACTTTTACTTATTAAGACCACAATTAGAGGGAATCAATAACACACACACACACACACATATATATATATATATATATACTCTCTCTCACACTAACAAGTTTAAATATTTGTTACCAAGGCAAAATGCATTCTAATTTTCAAAGTTAACAGGCTCTACCTTGAGCCCTAGAAAGGACTTAGTGTCCACTAATTCAGGTATCACACATATTCTAGCTCTTTTTGAACATATGGGTGTGAGTGTATGGATGTGTACATGTATTTATTATATGGTTTTGTGCGGGGTTATTTTTGGCTTTTGTTTGATTTTATGTTTTTGCTAAAACATTTACCTAGTGAGTTGCAATCTTAAGGGAAAGGATGTAGATAGAGTTAAACTAAGGTGACTGCTTTCTCCAAAGTAACATATAGGTTACTTTATGTCAAAAAACAGAAGGTTGCATTTTAAAATATTTTCCATATAGTAACGTTATTTAATGAATTCTGAACAATGAGCTCAGTATTCTTCATATCGTTTCAATTAACATCAATTTGTGAACAGATCTTCTCTTTACACCAATCTCACCTACTTTCAAGAACAAAGAGTGTTAGAATTTCTTCCTCTATGGAGAAGTAACAGTTAATTTTCAAGCCAAGGATCAAGCTTGAAACAAGCATATACCTGAGAAAGGAAGGTTCTTCCCCCCTCCTCCTTCTTCTTCAAAGAAACACAACAACGTTATGTCATACAGCATATGAACTAATATTCTAATATGTTTGTAATGAAGCTGGCTTGCTTACTTCTGAACCTTATAAATGCTCTTTATTTTTTATTAGGCTTGGGATTTATCCCCTTTTCCTCTCTCACTGTTTTCCCGGGGTCACAGTTATAAATAATACAGTTTGCACAATGAATTTCGCATGGTCATCCTACCTGAAATACCGCAAGCTCCCTACTCTAACCACCCCCAACCTCCTCTACTCAGAGATATGCTAAATGAAGCTCGCTTTTAGGCTGCGACGCAAATGCACGCAGCCGGTGGAGCCAGAGCACCCGAATGGCCCTCTGCTTCGCACAGCCCTTTGCATTCACACCGTAATCTTATTTGTTCGCTTGCTAGAATTTATGAGGCTGGTCAAGCCTTTAAGGTGATACCCAGCTTTCCCACTCCACACAGGAACCATTGTGGTGTTTGGCTCCCCTAAAATTAAACCACCGCTTCTAGTTCATCTGCGCTTTAGTTTACACGTTATCTGAAGTGATCCTCACTCCCAGCCCGTGAGAGCTGCGTCGCTGTCGCGGTGCCTATTTTATAGATGAGGTAAGGATCTTCCTGGTGGAGAAACAAGCTTCCTGGCAAAGGGACTTGCAGGTGTGACACGGCGGCTCGCAGTTTCTCACCTGACCGGCGGGCCTGGCTGCTGCCTCCATTCAGGCCAGGGAGGTGGGCCTCGCGACAGCGGCCGTTCAGGGACTTCCAGGGACCCCCTTTATCTCTACCTGCGCTCGCCCGGACCCCAGACCCCATCGCGCCTCACAGCTCCCACTAAGGCTCACCGTCCGATCTCGCCAGACAGCGTCTGGAAAGGACAGGGAAGCTCCACGTCCGCCACAGCCGTCCAGGGTCTGAGACCCACGAGCACAGGCGACGACGGTGGCGGTCACCAGAAGGCCTTCGGATTCCCGGGAAAGGAAAACTCGTCCACAGTCAAGCAGCTGACATTTCCCAGTCAGTCGGAGCTCCGCCCACTTCCGTTTCCCCGCCTACTCTGGGTGTTTTCCTGCCCTGCTCCGCGGGGGATTGTGGGTATCTGCAAGGCGGGGAAAATCTCAAGGGAAGGAAGTCGGAGAGAGTTCGTCAGACTGCGAGATAGGCCAAGAACTACAATTCCCAGCAGGCTGCTGGGCCGCGGAGGCCGCGGTGGAAAGCGGGCAGGAGAGCCCTGCGCGCGCTGCAAGAATGGAACGTTGCTAGAGTGCGCGGGTCTGGCTGCTGGGGGCTGGAACCGCACGCTGGGAGCTGTCGCGCGCCAAAGCGGGAATCTGGGAGGCGGGCAGTTGTGCAATTAATGCAGGTATTTAAAACTCCCGAACCTGTGGACGCCATGCACAGGTAAGCCGACTGCAGAAGAGGGCAGAGCATGAATGGACCGTCTCAATTCTTTTAGGCCGCGCATGTTGCTACTTTTGCTAAGATTGTTACTAATGCTGTATTGTTGCCTAGAGCACCTTTTGGGGGGAAAATGGATGGATGGATGTTTTAGAGCGAGGATCAGCGTGCAGTTTTATTTGGCGTCTCTAAATGGGTTTTTCTCCTACCATTTTCATTCACTCACATTGCTCTTCCTCTTTCCTTGTTCCTTCCACGGGAAGAAATTCTTGAGGCCTTGTACGGGATCCTAAATCAAAACTCCTTTTGGATCTCTCCCCCACCCCCACCCCGTTTTTCCTTTCATTCTTGGGAACTCGCTGAAGGCACGTAACAAATGCAATTCTTTTAGCTGCTTTGAAAGTTGTCTACAACCCATAATTTGCTACTTCTTGCATGCCTACTTTGGAATTTTTTAGGGGTGTGCTTTCAAAAGGAATGGGGTATTGTGCCCTTCTGCAGGAAGCACCTCCAGGAGATTCCGGACCAGAGTAGCAACGTTACCACCAGCTTCACGTGGGGATGGGATTCTAGCAAGACTTCTGAACTGCTGTCAGGCATGGGGGTCTCCGCCCTAGAGAAGGAGGAGGTGGACAGTGAGAACATCCCCCAGGAACTGCTCTCTAACCTGGGCCACCCTCAGAGCCCCACACGGAAACGGCTGAAAAGCAAAGGGAGTGACAAAGACTTTGTGATCATTCGCAGGCCTAAACTCAATCGAGAGAACTTCCCCGGTAAGAGATGAGGGGAAAACTGTCAGTTATATAAGGGGTAGATTGGATTGTTTTGTTGGTAACCCTTCGCTGGGGGATTTTTTAAATTTTTCTTTCAGAATTACTTAGTTAAAAGTTATTTTCCAATAAAGTGGGACCAGTGCTAATTAAAATCTACTGAAATCTTTCTTAGTCTCTAAGTCTTCTAATGCACAATCTACTTGAAACTTTTAACCCATGAAAAGACTTTGCTGCCTTTTTCCTTAGAAGGGCATCTGCCTGCCCAAAGTCCAGCTCACTACCACTGATAAATGGGAACATAAACAATGATCTTCTTTTAGGATCCCTTTTGTTTATAATTGCTGCTTTTTACTTCATTAAGCTTTCTGCCTTAATCACATTAGCTATTTGTCAATAGATTGCTAAAATGAATGTTATTCAAAGTGGTGGAAACTTGTCTCCCAGGTCCACGCCCAAATGGGCTTCTCCTGGGATGTTCATCTCCATTACTGTGGCATTATCCTTTCAGTCACCCAATACAGAAGATGAAACCTGATTTTTCACCTTTCCCAATGTCTAATCAATCTTCGTATCTTTCCCTCTTGTCTAGTAAATATTTCTCAAGTTCTCCTCATCTTGACTGAATTATTGTCATGGACTCATGATTTCCACCTTCTTTTCCCCGGGTCCATTCCCCAGAGTTGGAATGAATTGACCAAATTGATTGACTTTTGGTATCAGGGATTGAACCCAGGGGCACTTAATCACAGAGCCACATCCCCAGCTGTATTTATTTTGAAACAGGTTCTCACTAAGTTTCTTAGCGCCTCACTAAGTTGCTGAAGCTGCCTTTGAACTTGTGATCCTCCTGTCTCAGCCTCTGGAGCAGCTAGGATTATAGGCATGTACCACCATACCCAGCCTGTTTTTTATTTTAATGAGACAGGGTCTCGATAAGTTGGTTAGGGCCTCGATAAGTTGCTTAGGGCCTCACTAAATTACTGAGCCTGGGCTTTGAACTTGTGATCCTCCAGCCTCAGCCTCCCCAGCTGCTTAATAGCTTACAGATTTTCACCCCTGTGCTCAGCTTATTCTCTTTTTAGTAGCTCCCCATTTCCTGGTTTCTTAAGCAAGTGAATGAATGCCTCTGGGTGGACAGAACCCTGAACCCTGGAGTGCTCAAAGCCATGGGGTAAACATAGAACATTGACCTGGGGGTAATGAATTTTGCTTGCTAATAAGTCATTTAAAACATTAATTCAGCAATATTTGCTAAGCACCTACTATGTGCTTAGCATTGTTCTAGGTGCTGAGGATATAACACTGAGCAAACATTCCTACCCTCAGGAACATTCATTGTAGTGAGGAAACACAATAAACATAATAAATATGGTATTTCATGCAGTATTGTTAGAAAGTGATAAGTATGATGCCTAAAAACAGAAATTAGAGCAAGCCAGGAGGGAGTGGAAGTCCTGGGGTGGAAGGTAGATTGCAGTTTTAAATAGGAGACTGAGGGAAAGCCTCAGTTAGACAGTGGCCTTTAAGCAAAGGCATAAAGGAGGTAAGGGACTATGCCATGCAAATATCTTGGAGGAAAGAGCCCCAGGTAAAAGGAACAACTCTTGCAAGATCCTGGAGAAATGGATGACATGTTTGCCCAAGGAACAACAAGGAAGCCTTATACCAACAGTGGGAAAGGAAAGCGTAGGGGGAGGAGAGGCTAGAGGTGGTGTTGAGCAGAGCTGTGATGCAACCCTGTGGAACCTTTTGAAAAAACTCTGGTTTGCTCAGACTAAACTGCCTGGGATGGAGGATAAAAGTCAAGATGTGTGGGGGAGGATCAGCAGTAATCAGATTCTGGATATATTCTGACATTAGAGACAGTAGAATCAGGAGGCTGTTGAATTATCTGTGGAAGAGGTGATTAGAGTCTAAACTGAAATTGGGTTAGTGATGATGGAGAAGACAGATTAAAGAAATAAGAGCCAAGGTAAATAAGTACATCTCTAAGTTCTCCTGTGTGGCTTTGTTTGCAGAAGAGTTGATGAGTTGATTGCTTGTTTGCTTTAAAAAAAAATCTGTTTCCTCAACCCTTTCTTTAGAAAAGAGAGCCTTGTCCAACTTATGGCATGAAAATCCATACCAAGAATTCAAGTAATTGGGAGAGACGGTAGAAGGTTGTGATGAGGTCAGGTAAATCTGAATTTGAATCCTTATTTTGCTGTTTACCCGCCTTGGAAAGCTGTTGGAACTCTCTGAGTTATAGTTTCAAGGCCTGTGAAATGGAATAATAATTCCCACTTCCTAGGTTGCTGTGAAGACTGAGGCTGCACATAAATAAAGCTCTTAGTATGCTGCTGACGCATAATGCTCCATAAGTAAACCCAGTTACTATTAGTTACCAAAATTTCTGACACCTATTTGAGAGACTGTTTTTGGTTTTTAACCATTATACTGTTAGTCTGATCCTAGAAATATAGACTTTTTATCTTTAAAATTTAATGTCACATGCTATTTTTAGTGTCTGCAATGTAGCACTAGCAATTTGGTGCTTAACTGACCAAACATGGGTATTTTGATCAGCTTATCCAATGCAATTTGATTGCTATATGTCATTCTACATTCATATATACAAATATAAATAAAAAGACATTTTTAAAATATAGTTGTAGATGGACACAATAACTTTATTTTATTTATTTATTTTTATGCGGTCCTGAGGATCGAACCCCAGTGTCTTACATGTGCTAGGTAAGCGCTCTACCACTGAGCTACGACTCCCAACTCCTAAAAATATATTTAAGCAAGGCACTGAAACCAGACAGAAGTATAAAGAATGATGCTATCTCCTAGGAATTTCAAACAAGGAGAAAAGATAAATAAAAGCAACTTATACACGGCAATATGTGGCTGTAGCTAACACCAGCCGCAGATGAGTAGCTCAAACAGTGAGTGTTCTGGAGAGCCAGAGAGGGAGCCCCTTATGCAAAAGTAACTTAATCTCCATTGGGTTGTTGTGGGCAGTCCTCTTTCCCCTCAGCAAAAATGGAGGTTCCAAGGAAAGAGAGGAGCTGAAAATTGTCTGATCAGGGAGTCTAGATTTTAAAATCGACTAAATAAATATATGTCTGAAGTGAAAGAGAACAAGCTGACTTATGTTTGGTATCACCTGAGAGAAACAGGGGAGGCAACAGGACACATTTGTATGTACATGGACTTCCATGTGGATTGGTCTGTTGCTATGGATCGGTTGGGGGAGTGGGCCCAGTGATACAGAGTGAGGGACAGCTGGTGTAGAGGATTCCTCATGGCCTCTGGAAGCTTAGGCCTCCAGTGTAGCTGGATCCTCATTCCAGGGAGTTTTGTCTGCAGTTGTCAGGACAGGTGGCTAATAGCTCTGCCAGGATTAGGGTAGGAAAGGCCACACCTGCTGTACATAGAGATCTGATGACTGGTCCAGAGTTTAAGTTTTTGTTAGTTCTTTGCTAAGCATTGTCTTTTTGCAGGCCCCATTCCAGCCTCACATCTGGCAATTAAATCCTCTTCATCTGTTTATTTTCAAAGATTAAAGTTATGTGGCCAGTTTGTGCCAGAACAGGTCTGGTTAGCCCTTGGGGCCCGTGTATGAAAAGAGTTATGGAGAAACAGCCCAGCAATGAGGCCAGTTATAAGTGAAAAGATGACAGTCACATTTTATTTATGCTTATTAAATGCCTTTTCCTGGCCTTTAAACAGGTGATGACCATGAAAATGTGGTTGAACTAATTTGTGGCTCAGCTCTTCCATGGCTGTTAGTTAGACTCCTCGAAATTCCAGACCCTCCAAAGGTTCTTAGTTTGGAGACTCTAAAGTTCAGAGTATATCAGAATCCTCAAGGGAACTGGTTCAAAGTGCAAAATTCCTAAGATTATGAATCAAGAAGTCCTTGAGCCTGGGAATCTGTGTTTCAATACCCCAGGGCAAATGGTCATCCCCAACTTTTTGTTTTTAACCAAGAAGAAGTATATTGTAATCCTGGGTGTTTACATGAAATGAGAGTTTCACACAACTATATACCTCCTTACCAAGATATTTTCTGTTCTGTTCTATTCCATTCTTTAATGAAAGAAAATACTAGTTAAACTTACTAAGTTGATTTCACTACCTATCAATGAGTCTCAGTCAACAGTTCCCAAATTGTAGTTACATAGGCGACTTCTTATGGAACCCTTCAAGTCATCTTGCTTTGTTTTCTGTTTTCCATTCATTCAGCAAATGTTTATCGAGCATCACTATAGAAATTGGGAATAAAGACATGAACATAAATAAAAGATCCTGCTCTCAGAGCTTCTGTTTTGTACCTGAGTCCCCCAATCCTAGTTTCTACTGTTTCTTTGTAAGTCCTTGCACCCCCCAGGGTTGAGCAAGCTTTTCATAGAAATAAAGGGTTGTGGGCCAAGGTGTGCACTGGGGACCCCTGTTTAATTTTTCAGTTTTGCTTTTTGGCCCATCTAGCCAAAAAATAAGAACACCAAAAATGTCAAAAGCTAGCACAATCTCAGTTTTCTCTTCATTGTTTGTGGGAAGAGGAAGGAGAGCTTATCCAGGATGGCAAAATCTGTGTGTACTTCCCTAGAATGGAAGCATGGGGTGTTGCTACTTAAAACAAGGCAGAAAAGCAATCATTAAGTGAACCCCCCCCCTCCCTTTAAAAACCACAGCAGCCATGAGCATCAGGATGCCTGCTTCTCTTGCAAGTATAATTTGATTATTGATGCCTTCAAGAGAGAAGCAACTTTTTTTAAAAGTTGAAATTTGGGAGGTGGTTAAGATTACTTTGAATTTTCTGTTTGAATCTGAGTGTAGGAGATATTCTGAGAAATAAATAGTTCAAGTAAGAGGTGTTAACCATATTGCAAAGGTCAAATGCATAGAAAACTCTCCTATAGGGCTGGGGATATAGCTCAGTTGATAGAGTGCTTGCTTTACATGCATAAGGCCCTGGGTTCAATCCCCAGCACCACCAAAAAAAGGAAAGAAAACTCCTATAAGCCCCTCCCTCTTTCCAGAGGAGACATGGAAGATGATGGGTTACAGAGGTATGGGAAGCTGGGTCTGTGTCTGAGGAGAAATTAGAAAGTGTTGGGTGAGGGTGATCAGCAAGCTCTCTGCTCTGGCCAGTTTTTGCCCTGGTCTGGCTGTGAAGCATGTTTTGCTGCTGTCCATGTCTTTTAAGATTGGAATCTTTATCATTGTGTACAGCTTTAATCAGTATGTAGCTTCAGTGGGTTAAGCAGAAGCGAGTGGAGAAAAGACCTAGATTTTCCCTTCCTCTCTCAGCAAACAGACCAGGCAGCGATGTAGTCAAGAATCCAGGAAACAGATGGCTGATGTTTTGAGAATTAAATATGGGAAGTAAAATTAGATTAAGCATATCACATCCTGGATGCCAGCCATTAGAGCAGCTACTGAAGACAAACTTCTGCCTGTCTGCTCAGACAGCAGCCAGTTCCAGGCTGTTGCACCCCAACACAGGGGCCCTGTGAATTATGCTCTGTGGTCAGCTGAGTGGAGCCCTGGATGCTTGGCTTTTAGCTGAGACTGTATGTCCTGAGCTGTTGCTTCTTCCATTCAGTGGCAAACCCTTTGGAACTCTCACCATCTTCGCGTTTTGCTCCCTCTCCCTCCACTGATCTCTTGCTAGCCCTGATTGATTTCTTTTTCCATAGCAAGTCATAATTTAATTCTCACCTTTGCTAAACTTTTAGAATAAATCAAGTACTGTTCACAACAGGAAAACATAAACTCTTAAAAGTATGAAGGAGGTAGAAAGGGTTCATATTTCAAAGTCAGACCTGGGTTTGAATTCCCACTCTGCCATGCACTAGTTGGGTGATCATGTCCCTTTTGTCATAGCTTCATCTTCTCTTGAAGCCCCTCCCCCTCTCTTCCAAAGACTACTGGTAGAGGACAGTCGTTCTCTGCAGTTTGTCTTCAACCTCATCCTCTCCATATGCAAAGGGTGCCATGCTATCCCTTTGCAGGTACTATACCTCCACCTACAGTGCCTCTGCCACCTGGCAGGTCATCAGGCTTCCCACTTCTTGTGACTGCACCTCACAGTGAGGTAGGGTAGTTTGGAAACCCAAGTTTCTTGCCTCTGCCCCCTAAGAGTTGATGTTACCTTGGTGAAGTTATTTAACCCCCCTAAGATAAATTTCCCCACAGATGATAATACACAGGTTGCCCCAAAGATTGCATCACTGTTCTTCCATAAATGCCTGAGACTTTTTAGGGCTTCCAGTAGGTGGCAGTTTTAATTGTTAGGTTATGTATTTGTTTATTAGTTCATCTCCTAATGAGGCCACTGGGCAGGAGCTGTGATTTCTAACTAGCTCCCAGCACTGTCACGTCTTTGAAAGTGGAGTCACAGGCCAACCTTATCATTTTACAAATGAGGAAACTGGTATTAACAGGCTTATATTTAAATTAAAGCCAGCATTCTTTGGGGTATGGATCATTCCTTTGTGAAATACCAGTTAGGCAGTTTCTAATATTCAGTGTTGGGCTTTAGGCACTAGGCATGTATTTATTGGTTAATGGCGCCTGGCATATTACCAGAAGGAGTGGTTGAGAGGTGACACCAGCAAGCCATTAAGATGATGATAATTAAGTTAAGCTGTGTATAATTGCTGTGACTGGATGCTGCTGGATTGAAACAGGCTGTGTATTCAGTTGTATATGGACCCCTGCTCTCCCGGGGATTCCTGGAGAGTTCACGTTGGTTGGTGAGGTTCTGGTGGAGGGAGTTCCAGTTGGTGTGTGGTGTTCCTGGAAGGGCTGGCTGGGTGGCGTTCGCAGGAGTTCGGGCAATAAAGGAGTTCGGGCAATAAAGGAGTTCCTGTTTGAACCTACAAGTGCTTCGTGGCCATGGCCGCTCGGTTATTTTGTGCCCAGCCAGACTGCAGCAGATGAAAGGGGAATAAAAAGTATATTGTATTTCATAAATACTTATCACGTGCCATTTACGTGTCGGGCATTGTGTTAGGTGCTGAATGTGGAAGCCTGGGCGTAGGGCTTTGTTGGTGACCTGGGAATGCTTCTCTGAGCAAGTGCTGTTTGAGCTGAAGTCTGGAGGAGGAGCTAGGCAGTTGGAGACAGAAGTTGCAGCACAAAGCCTCCTAACTCCAGATTGTTCTCTTGTGTGCTGGGCTTCATTGCCTGGGTGTGCTAGCTCTACCTTCATCCTTATGGCTCCATTTTCCTCCTAGCAGTTTTAATTAACTGCTTCCTATTGCTCTTCTGTTTTTTCCTGATTTCTTACATCTTTCCAATAAAATTAAAAGCACCAAACTTGTATTTTATTTTTTATTTTGTATTTTTTATCTTACCTTCCTTGCATTTCTCAGCAAGCTTTCTTAATTTCCTTTCCCACCCATCTTCAGTGGACACTCTTGGCGCCCTGTCCACAGCCCCCATGAAGCTCACCATTCCTGTAATGCCAGAGGCTTTCTGGCATTGTGACTCTGTGCTTGAGGGCTTTCTCTGGACAGGAATGCTAGGGAGTTAACAGCAGAGAGACTGATAGCCCTTATGAACTCATATACCAGCACCCATGCCCTTGGGCAGGACAGCTATGGGGCAATTCCAGATGGTCTCATAGAGTCCCCGGAAGATTTGAATCCCAGCTGCCCATAACAGTAACCTACTTATTGACATGCCTTGAGTAAGCTTCCTTCTCTTCCATGTCTCTCTTCATTTTTTTTCTTTTCTTCCTTCCATTGCTTCCCAAACAAACGACTGGAAGTCATGTTCTCAGAGTCTGTCTCCGGGAATCTCAAACTTAGGAGGCAGATATGAGATTTTGGTGAATCACACTGTGCAGCTCTTGTCAACTCTCTTCAGATCTTGTATTTTCGCCTGTTGGTAAAAAACTAAAGCACGTATTGAAAAGAAGACATTGTCATAAAAGGAAAACATACAGATTTAATGAGGGAAAGAGAGGAATAGAGGTGAGAATGATTGACTAGCTCTCTGCTGCATCATTTTATCCTTGCTCATACATCATTTTATCTTCATGGTTTTGCAAGATAAATCTATTTATTCTCATTCCTGTAGATGGAACATCGAGGCCCAGAGAGATTAAGTAACTTACCTAAATTCACAGTAGTCAGGGCAATCTAGCTGGGACTCTAATCAAAGTTGGGCTTCTTCCTCAGTACAATAATTCTCAAACTCCCGGAGGCTACTCACTTGGATCATCTTTGTAGATCATAGTAAAGCCTGAACATGTTAGCAGCTGTATAATTTTTTTATCAGATCAAATACGAAAATATGCCCTATATATGCAGGAGGAAGCAAAGAATGAAGAACTAAGGAAGGAAAACTTGAAAGAAGTGTCTTTCAACATTTTTTGGATTTGAGGAGCAGGCAGGAACTTGATTTAAGAACCTCTGTCCTCTACTTGCGTTGACTCTGGAGGAATGCTGTGGTAGAAAGGTTGTCACACTGAGGACCCTCTATAACCTCCAGCTGTCTCCCCAGGCTGAGGGCCACGGTCAGCATGGGTGATTTGCCTTTATCCCACTACCCTTAGTTTTCATGGCCTCAGTCAGTCCTTTAACTTTGTTACCTACTGAGAAGGACAGGCATTGATTGAGCCTGCACCTGTATCCTGCCACCATCTCCAGAAAGGCTTCCCTGCCGCCGCTGCACTCCCTGGGCCCTGTTGTAGGTTATCACCGTACTTCACTGAAATTTCTTATTATCCCTCTCAAAACTCTGGGCAAATGCAGATTAGGACTATGCTGTGTTTATCTTTGTATCCCTAGAACAGACCTTTGCATGTAGTACATGTTCAGTAAATGAATGGATGGACAGATTAGACTTCGTGCTTGTTTCTGGAAATATGAAGAATGTTAAAAAGCAGAGTGGGGGGTTGTTTGCAAAACTTGTGGACTAGGGGGCGGGGCCTAGAGAAATGAGGAAGTAAATAAATAAATCAATCCTGGTAGATAACACCTGTCCTTGAGGATGTCTTGAGAGGCCTTCAAAGCATAGCAGTTGGGCCTTACCTAGCAATTTGATTTTGAATGAATAGCAGCCTGGGGAGTAAGGATGCTTGTCTTAGTGACCCAGAACATCATGATACCTTGATGGGCTAGGGCCTCATTCTGTGCCACCATTTATGTCCCTGCCATGGCTAGCCGACTGGCAACGAAGGGGAAAAGGACAAGACAAGTAGTCTTGGTTCTTTCTCATACTGCTGAGAAAGTGAGGTGCTTGGATTGGACAGAAAAGCAAAGGTGAGGCTGAAGAATTCAGTTAGTGTTAAATCCCCCTTTTAAGCTAACCATTGTGAACCCTTAGCATGCTTAGCAAGACTCAGTTCACTTGGCAGGGAAGAAGAATGGTGATAAGAAAACTTTTTATTTTTATTTTTGTTTTTTTTGTCTTATAGGTGTTTCGTGGGACTCCCTCCCAGATGAGCTGCTCCTGGGGATCTTCTCTTGTCTTTGCCTCCCCGATCTGCTGAAAGTCTCCGGTGTTTGTAAGAGGTGGTACTGCCTCGCGTAAGTATTTTGCACCCCTTTGGCACATATGAGGGGAAGGGAAAGAGATGAATTCACTTCAGTCTGGTGAAACTAAAAGCCAAGAAAGGTACAGAAGCCCGAGCAGACTGTCTTAGTTTTAATAATAGTTTCTTCGTTTCATAGTGGAAGAGAGGCGTTTCCTGGAGGTGTAAACTTTCCCCTGTTCTGACAACTTCTTGGCCTGGTATTCAGTTTGGCACCTGTTTACCAGGTGTGGTATCTGGGCCAAGCAGTGGGCTAAGAGCAGAGAGAGTTCTGGAAAGCCATAAAGACAGTGTGCCTCACTCCAGAGGCCAGGTATGAGCACAGATCCCCGTGTGAGCCTCGCCTCTGCCACTTACACTCTGCACAACTTGAGTGAGGTACTTGATGCTAACAAGCCTCAGCCTCCCCGTCCCTTGTGTAAGCTTGCAGTGATGCTTCCCTCAGTGTAGTGTGGCTGTGAGGATAAACTGTACTGCTGGTGCAGTGCCTGCCTCCCGGGCATGTTGAGTACCACCCCAGGTGTTTTTTGGTAACAATTTTTAGGTGTAGATGGTGGGCTGGGAAGACAGTAACAGGCCTAAAGCAAGAAAAAGACTGAGGTTTTGTTGTTGTTTATTTTTCCAGTGCTGGGGATGGAACCCAGGGCATCCTGTGCGCTAGGCGCACCCTGCCACTGACATGCATTCCCAGTCCTGAGGCTGCTTTTTAATCAAAACTTTTCTTTTTTTTTTTTTTTAAACCAGTTCCACCTTTCCCCATCTCCGCTTTTGTGTTTGGAGACCATCTATCTGGTTTCTCTCTCCACATATTCAGAACTCCCTTCGTGAGACAGTAGGAGGCCTTTCAGGGTGTCTGGAAACAAGACAGCATAGGCATTGGCAGGAGCAGGCTATATGCTTAGAAGGTGAAAGAATTTGCAGGCCTGTAGTGCTGGCACAATGGCTGGGCTTTACTTATCCCTACTAGGAAATCCCACTTTGGTTTTCCTTTCCCACCAGCAGTGCGTTTGTCCACTCCATGCAGAATCTCAGCCTTTTAAAAAAAAAAAAAATTGTGTTGTACAGATTTAAGGTATGCAACATGATGGTTTGATATACAAATAGTGAAATAGTTCTATGCTTGAGCAAATAAATAAATCCATCATTTCACAGTTCCCTTTTCTCTCTTTTGTAGCAAAAACACTTAAAATATACTTTCTTAGCAAAAATTCCAAATACACTACAATATTACTAGCAGTCCTCATGTAATATCTTAGATCTCGAGACTTACTTAGCCTACATATCTGTTGCTTTGTATCTTTGACTTCTGTCTCCCACTCTTGAAGTCCATTGCTCTTCATTTCAATTGTCAGAAATGTAAATCAATGACATTTATTAAGCACTTACTATGTGCCAGGGGCTGTGTTATCAGTTTAATCTTCCATATAGTCTTAAGTGACAATATCCATACTATTTCAGTTTTAGGAACAGTAGGTTGAGAGGTAAGTGGGAAAACAAGAATCTAAGGTCCAGCTGACTACACAGCTTTAACCCTAACTAGTTATATTTGGCTTGGGGTTCAGACAGCTCTTGAATTCATCTTCCTGTCTATGCTTAAGATGGATGTTATTCAGGAACAATGTGAATGTTCCAGAAATTTCCCCAGGTTGTTACAGAATGCTTAGTAAGCTGTTTTTGCCTCTGTGCAAATAGAAATGTCAGGCATGAGATCTGAGATAACCAGAGGGTAATCCAGTGTCATTTTCTTGGAAGTAGATTTTTGTCTGGGCAAGAGAAAGATTCAAAGCATTCCAGTCTCTTATGGATATCTTATCTACAGTCTGCCCTTTTCTAATAATAGGGGTCAAATCACACACTGATAATTCCTATATACCAAAAGTTTTAAAACCCTGGCCGGTGGGCTACTTATTTCAAGTACTATTAAAAAAAAAAAAAGAAAATTCTACTACACCTAAGAATTTAGAATATCCCCTCATGTGCTTGTATTTCACATTTTATTTCACTTGCTTGAATTCATCTGTGGATACATTTTTGAAACCTCCCTTTTATTTTAGAAACACTGTAACCTAATATTTTTCCTTTTTCTTTCACAGTAGTACACATACACACATGTACATACATACACATATGGGTCATGTGATTGATTTCAGTGTAAGATACTATAAAGCAGAGCTGAACTATGACTGCTTTTTCCTAGACAATATCTATGATAGCTGTATCTCATGATAAAATAGAATAATAGAATAACTTTGTTTCTTAAGTTCTATTTGCATGTTACTTTTGGAAATTGTGGTGATCTCTTCATAGATTTTTGTTGTTGTTGTTGTTGTTTTTCAGTACTAGAGATTGAATCCAAGGCACTCTACCACTGAGCTATAAGCTATGTCCCTAGACCTTTTTATTTTTTATTTTAAGAGAGGGTCTCCCTCACTTACAAAAGGTGACCTTGAATTTGCAATCCTCTTTCTCAGCCTCCTGAGTACTGGGATAGTAGGTATGCCCCACCAAGCCCGGTCTGTTCATGCTTAACGACAATGGCAAGAGGTATCATTTAAGAAATTTTGAAACTCCTCATCTGGTAAATAATCAAGTGATTTGAATAATCAGTTTTGGGGGTGGGGGCAGGACTGGGGATTGAACTCAGGGGCACTTGACCCCTGAGCCACATCCCCAGCCCTATTTTGTATTTATTTAGAGACAGGGTCTGAGTTGCTTAGCATTTCGCTTTTGCTGAGGCTGGTTTTGAACTTGAGATCCTCCTGCCTCAAGCCTTCCAAGCCCATGGGATTACAGTCATACGCCACCACGTCCATCTTGAATAATCAGTTTTAAAGTTGTCATATTGAATTGAAAACTAGATTTTTTTAATAATATTCAGCTTTTTAAAATTTTTTTTTTGTTATTGTTGTAGATGGACACAGTACCTTTATTTATTTATATGTGGTGCTGAGATTGAACCTTGTGCCTCACACATGCAAGGCAAGCGCTGTACTGCTGAGCCACAACCCCAGCCCCTGAAAACTAGAATTTTATTCTCTGCTTCTAGATCATTGAAAGTGTTAATTTTAGCATTGAATCACTTAAATTAGAAATATATAAAAAGTAAAATGTGTAAGTTTATTCATATTATGATCAAGAAATATTTAGTAGTGTCTTTAAAATATCTTAAATATTTGCATAGTCATCTTTAAAACAAAATTTCCTTCAAGGGGATTTAGCAGCTGTGTCTTACTGGTTAGTAATATCTTTGAGGGCCTCCAGCATTACCTGTGACTACTTACCAAGTCAAGCACCTCCTCTTTTCTAGGTTTGATGAATCTCTCTGGCAAACCCTGGACCTCACAGGTAAAAATCTGCACCCAGATGTGATTGTTCGTCTGCTGTCTCGAGGCGTGGTGGCCTTCCGCTGCCCCCGATCATTTGTGGACCAACCCTTGGTTGAACATTGCAGGTAAAAAAGTAAACTCCCTAAAAAAGGCTCTTTTCTAAATCTTGAGGTGAAAACAGAGCCTATGACAGATCCTCTTTGCAGTGTGGGACATTAGGTACACGTTGTGCCCTGTGGTCTTCGGGTTGAAATATGGCACAGGTTTCAGTGATGTCACTCCGATTTTAACTCGGGGTTTCTACTGTATTCTTCCTGGAGTTAAAGGTGTTCATTTAGGGGCTGGGGATGTAGCTCAGTGGTAGAGTACTAGCCTAGATTTATGAAGCCCAGAGTTTGCTCCCCAGTATCACCCCCCCACACCCACACACCCACACACAAAAGGTGTTCATTTAGCTTTTCTTGTTGGGTCCTCAGCAGGTAGAGATGGTGAAGACTCGAGGCAGGCAACAAACAGCCTCGGTCTTTCCCCACTGCCCATTTCTGACAAACAAAAACGTACAAGTGGTGTTTTCAGATTTGTAGCTTGTGCTTTCAGTCCTGTTGTGGACAAACTTGGGCAGATTTACAATCTGAGGGGGGAAAATCCCTCTTTGTTTTTTGGTTTCTTTTTTTGTTGTTTGTTTGTTTGGTAGACTATTTTGAAAAAATATTTCTCTGGCACTACTAATTATGCAGCATTAAGGGTTGGTGTTGTCTCACACTTGAGTAGAATAACTAGACACTGAAGAGAAAAAGAAGCCGACCACAGCATAGCTAAGGGTGAAACGTGTCTCCCCACTCTAGAACTTTTCCCTTCTTTCCACCATTGAATCATGTCCCGGCTTCTTTCTCCCCGACTCATGCCTTTTCTTAGTCTTCTTTACACGTGTGATTCCTTTTGTGCTCTCCAGAATTCATTCCTGGCTGCTTTTCTTCTTCGTCTACATGCTGTTCTCAGACATGTTTATGTTCAGGACTCTCACATCCTTATCTGTAGCTCAGCCTTCTCTTTTAAGCTCCCTATTTCTAATTAACTAAAGACTTCCAAACCTGAATTTCTTCCAAGTACCTCAATGTTAGCATATCTAAAATTAAACTTGGCCTCCTCTTCTGTCTTCTCTGTTCTAGTGCATAACCACTGCCACGTACCCACTCACCCTCGCCAGAACCAGGATCATCATAGAAACTGGGACTGTATTGGCAGCAGTGTCTGCACTTGGCAAAGATCCTTTTGAATTTACAAAAAAAAAAAAAAAAAGAGTGGGCAACAACAAGTAGCAATTTGTTTTATGACCAGAACTATATTCAATACATGAAATGTGTATTTAGGGTCTTATTTGTGATGGATTGCTCATTTGGGGAAAAGAAAGGGCCTGATAGGACCTGAGTGTACTTGTGACAGCCACCTCACAGAGAACTCCTTTTTGTCCTCTTTTATTCAGCCCTTTTCGTGTCCAGCACTTGGATCTGTCTAACTCAGTTATAAACGTATCTACCCTCCATGGCATTCTCTCTCAGTGCTCCAAGTTGCAGAATCTAAGCCTGGAAGGCCTACAGCTTTCTGATCCCATTGTCAAGTGAGTAGCAACCAAAACATGTGACAAAGGCATTTTCTTGTATTTGTTAAATGTGTACCCTGTCTGTAACTAGGGGCCCCTTCCATCCGTGTCCAGATGGACGCACAAAATATCTCATGCAGTGCTCCAACTTCTGTAGAACTTTCCAGAACTTCATGCACAATCCATGCCTCATTCATGGGTGAGATGGATAATTACAGTGCAACATGTTTGTTAAATGGATTGGTGACTATGAGGCATTGAGAGAGGCCAGTTAAATTTGGGGAAGACAGCCTTCTCAGAGGAAGTGACTTGTGAGTTGGGTATTGAAGACATTCACATAGAACTCCAAGTGTTGGACAAAGGATGCAGCTGAGGTAAAGCTGCTGGTGCCATGTACTAAGTGAGCTCTTTAAGTGTGTGCTCATTCCATTCTGAGAGGACCCCACGAAATATGTTCTTATTGTTTCCTTCTTATGGCTGTGGAAACTGAGGCACACAGAGGCTGAATAATTGTCCAAGGTCACAATGTTAGTGGGTGATGAATCAAGATTTGAACCTGTCATTAAGACATGATTTCAGAATAATGGCTCTTACTCACTAAGTTGCCCTCAACAAGGTATTTAGGAATGTAGTAGAGGAGAGGGCAAATTTAAATGATGTAATATTGCAAGAACCTTGTGACTTTTTACATGTGGAAATTTGCTTACAAATGGAATTAATGTTCATCCCATTGCTTGCTTTCTTTTTTTTTTTTTTTTAATTTGAAAAATACATTGATCAGTGTTTCTGGTGCATTTACTCTGTATCAGATACTATGCCAAGTCCTTTATTTCATTGTATCATTTAATCTTCCTAATATCCCCACAAAGAAGATACTGCTATGGCCATTTCCCAGGTGAATAAAATGAGGCAATGAACCCTGCTGAGTGTCCCAGAGATAGTGAAATGTGAATTTTAAACTCAATCTCATTCAAAGGCCTGTGCACTTAGGACACTAACATGCTTTCCTCCAAGTTCCTATTGATTGAACAAGAGTGCCTCATCGGTATTCCTTTGGCATTTTTCTCTTTTTCTAGTAATCTTGCGCAGAACTCAAATTTAGTACGACTCAACCTTTGTGGGTGTTCTGGATTTTCTGAGTCTGCCCTGAAGACTCTGCTAAGCAGCTGTTCCAGGTAGGAGAGATTTGAGCCTTGATTATAGAGCTCTTGAATCAGGTGCAGTTACCCTCACATCTGAACAGAGCTGGATGAACTTTCTGAGCTATTCTTAACTCTCCTCGTTCTTGCAAAGCACAGTATCCTTTGCTTTGCAAAACTTTCCTGCTAAATTTTAGAATCAAATCAATTCCATTTGTATGGGAGAGATACTTGTATAGTGATTTCTTTTTTTCTGTTTATTTGTTACTATGAAAGCAGGGGAAATGTGGTGTATTTATCACAGTGTAGGTGAAAGAAATCTGTTTACACTTGACTATGCAGTCAAGTTTTTCCCCTATAATATCTATAGACCTAACTTGCAAGTTTGATCAAAAATGGTACATTTTAAGTATAAACCATAATAGATGTGGGTGATTCCATTAACATCTTTTATAATGTCAGTGATAAAACGTACAGAGTTATAGATATTTCTAAGTGAGGGGATACATGGTTTATAGAATACACAGTACTCTGTGTGTGTGTGTGTGTGTGTCATGTTATTTTTTTTTTTTTAACTATTCCTTTGTCTCTGGTATATAGCATTTGTACCTGTGTCTTATTAGTGATCTGCTAAAAGTCGATTGCCTTTGGATAAGAATGTCATCAAAGAGATAAGATATAGATGTATAGTGCTACTCTAGTGATTTTGGGAAGTGGAAGGTGTGACTTAGTAGATAATTGTCTTTGAAAACCTCATTGATTCAGTTAACAGAGGCACATTAGACAAAGTGGCATTTTACAATCCTTACTACCATCTACTAGTTTTGTAAAATATTTTGAGTGATTGCTCAGTCTGTCTGGTTGTTCACCCACCACCTAGATGGTTTGAGAATGAAAACATATAGGCTGGCATTTCCTCTTACAGTCCTGGAATGAGAATTGAGTCTGCAGGAGAGGAGGGGGCTCCCCTTTATTTCCAGAAGAGGGAAACACTAAGATCTTTGCTCGGATCCCCTGAGCAACTTTCAGGAGCAAATGGGGTAGGGAAATGTCAAAAGGGAGAAGGCAGTTTCAGATGAGCAAAGGTAGATGCTTAGAACAGTGGGTGTTCTGTGCATAAAACTGTAAGGAATGGTTTTATATTTTCTTTATTTACAGCTTGAGGCAAATTCATTCCTGTGTGATATGTTCACGTTATCCTTATTACCTTCCTTTTGTGCAGACTGGATGAGCTGAACCTCTCCTGGTGCTATGAGTTCACTGAAAAGCACGTGCAGGTGGCTGTTGCACATGTGTCAGAGACCATCACCCAGCTGAATCTTAGTGGCTACCGAAAGAATCTTCAGAAATCAGGTTTGAACTTCCGGGCCTTGGCAACTGAGGCTTTAATAGTACAAATAAATATGATATATTAAACGGCTCCTAAGTTATCTCAAAGTTAGCCCAGTGCTTGTGTTATTTCCTTTTCCAGGGGAGGAACTGCTGATCAGGAAGGGTTAGGTAAAGGTAAATAGCTAGCGAATTAGAGGACAAGGTTACAAATGGAAAGGGTTTTTTTTTTTTTTTCAATAGCTTCACATTGCAGTCTCAGTCTGGGCTGCATAAAACCTAGTTAATCCAATGACACACATCCACCATGTTTTGATGTTGGTAACTAGCTCATTTGAGTGTAGGAATTTAGTATATGGAATACTAGTTTGTAGTGTGCCTTTTTTCTCTCCAAATAGCTCCATTTTCAGTGACTGTACATCAGCAACAGCTGTGTGATACACCATCAACTGAATATGGAATAATTTATATTAAACAATAATAATTTAGGCAGCTGATATTCTAATGGACATTTAGAATCTTTTGAGTTTCTCACTTCTAGAAATAACTTTGGGATGGACAGAGACAAATCTTCAGGCACATTTCCAAGAATGCGTTCTTAAGCTTTGGCTAGTTCTTTCCAGACCACCTTCCAAGGAGTTTAAAATACCACCAGTGTGCATCCTCCCCCATGAATACCACCACACTTGGTTCTTCCCTGCTCATGCTCAGGAGAAGGGTTGGCAGTGCTCTAGGTACGGTCCTTTCCTGCACCAGAGTCTCACCATCCATTAATGAGGTAGTGGGAGATTCTGACATCTTCTGACATTGAACTTGTTGTAGGCTTGAAAAACTGCCATAAAGCAACTGCTCTTAATTTTGCCTGCGTATAGATTAAACTCTTCTTTTTGTTCTTCCAGAAAAGGTGAAGATAAGTTTACCAAGTTTTAATTAAGAATTGTAGATAATAAAATCCAGCTTACTAGATACATTCAGCTCAAGGACAAAGAGAGTATAAATTAAAAGTGATAGTTTTCTTAAATATACAATGGAAATAAAAATTTTAATTAATGCCATTAGTGTAGGACACAATATTGTGTTATATATAAGATAATATGGATTTGGTTTTAGCTCACAAACTGGTGCCTGGCTGCCTGGTTCCAAATACCCATTCTGCCATTTACTGGAGAGCCATGAGCAATTTCCTTATTTTTCTGTTCCTGTTTCTTCATCAACAAAATGGATATTATAATAGGTAGGACCTACCTCTTAGAGTTATAATAAAGAATAAATGAGTTGATGTACGTGCAGCACATTGAATAGTTCTTGGCATGTGGTGAGAGTTACTGTTGGCTGTTATTTCAGCATCACCAGCCAGTATCACTTACCTCCCTGTGGGGCAGGCAGTTAATGAGATAAGCGCAATGTGATCTTGGAGGACCTAGCTTTTCATCTTGCATTTGACCTTGACTCCTAGCAGAAATCACCTCTGAAGTGACAGGTTGGATTGCCTGGTTTTTAAGATCCCTTCTAGCTTTAGTAGATCTGTTTGTGGCCAAGTGAAGGGAACAGTGAAAAGGGAATCTTATCAGTGACCACTGTTTACTAACACTTCCCACCCAGGGAAGACAAGGCTTAAATTAGGGATGGAAAGGGAGACTAATTTTATCCCTTCTCTGTTTGGTTTTTCCTCTGGTAGTATCAAAGATTTTATAATTTTACTGATGGCTAGTTGGCCAGTTAGACAGTTGGTCACCCAAAATTGTATTATGCACTTTCTTCATTTTGCGGTCATTCATTGAATAAATGTTGATGGAGCACCATGATACATGTAGCTCTGTTCCAGAGTTACATAACTATGTGGCCCTGAACAAAATGAAGACAGTCACACTGATTCAGCTTTCATTCTGTGTGGGAGCCAGACAGTGAACAAAACTCCCAAATGTTGTGAAAGATAAAGCAGATGAGCAGGTGGAATGTGGATGGAGAAGACTACTCTTAGGTGGACTGGTAAAACAGAGGCCCTCTCTTGAGGAGGTGATGCTTGTGCAGAGCCCTGGTTGAGTGAAGGAGAAATCCATGTGGATTTGTGAGATAACATTCTGGAACAAAGGATCAGCAGATGCAAAAGCTTGATATGGCAACCAGTATGTGAGAAGGAGCAAGGGAAAACAGGCAGCCAAGGGCTCTCTAAGCCAAAGAAAAAGTTTTGGGTTTTTTTCTGAGCCATTGGAATATTCTGAGTCAAACAGTGTTATGAACTGAATTGCCTGCCTTGTGTGTGTGTGTGTGTTAGTAGGGTATGAACTCAGGGGAGCTTTATCCCAGCCCTGTTTTGAGATGAGGTCTCACTAAACTGCTGAGGCTGGCCTCAAGCTTGAGGTCCTCTTGCTTCAGCCTCCTGAGTCACCGGGATTACAGGCATGCACCACCAACAAGCCTGACTCTGACTTGCCTTTTTTAAAAAGGGCTTACTCTAGTGCCAAGGTCGGGGGGGGGGGGGGGGATGTGAAGCAGGGAGGACAGTTAGGAGACTAGGGTGATAACATTCATGGTACTAATAAATGATCCGATTTGGGGTGCATTTTGAAATCCTGCATAGCAAGATTTGGAGACAGATTGGATGTGGGCAGTGAGAAAAACAGTCAAATGTGGTTCCTAGAGTTTGGGCCTAAGCAACTGGATCCATGAAGTTATCACTTTCTGAGATGAGAAGAACTTTAGGGAAGGAACAGATTTAGGGGACATACTGAGTATTTGCTTTTAGATGTAAGTTGGATGCCATCATATACCTGAAATGGATAAGTTGAGAAGGCGGTTGGAAATGAAAGTCTAGACGTTAGAGAAGATGATGTGGCCAAAATTATAGCAGTGAGAAGAAAAAAAATACTCAACGATAGAGAAGTTTTGTTGTTGTTTTGCATAAATCACATTTATTAGTTCATATTGTTGAGCTCGTGTGACTTTTTCTAAATTCTGAAACGTTATCTGTACAATCCCAACCCCCTTACTAGTTAACATTTTGGAATATTTCTTTCTAGGGTTTTTTCTTTCCTGTCTTTCTTTCTGTGAGTCTGTATATGTAAGTGGGTTTGTGTGTGCACACACAACTAAATAGAGTTTACACTGTATTGTAGAAGTTTTGTTTTCAGTGTATCTCCTAATGTTTTTTCATGTCACAGAAAAAAAATATTTTTAATAATAATGATTAGTATTATATTTCATTAAATAGACAAAGGTTAACAAACTAAACTACCTGAAGGAGGGGTATTTGTAACTATTACTACGTATGTTCTTGCATATCTGCATTTTTCTAAGTGAAACAACTAGACCAAAAGGTAAAATGATGTATATTGCTTTGAATACACTTTAAAATATCAGTTCAGCATCCAAAAAAAAAAGAAGAAAAGGAAGAGAAAAAGAAAAGAAATCACTTTCAGCCTCTGGAAAGGCTGCTTATAAAATTAAATATCCATTTATGGTGGACTGTTTCATCAATTATTTCATCAGGTCTGGGTGCTTAGAATAGAATTTTTTTCACTTGATGGCTGAAAAATGGTTTTTATTTTATTTAGTATTTGTTACTTTATTTTCTTTTTGACAGCTATCAGTTCATGTTTTGGCATTTTTTTCATATATGTATATGTGTGTGTGTATATGCACATATATATATTTCTCTTATGTGTACAGTAAGACTACTAACTCTGTTTAACTTGTGTTGAAAACATTTATTCCCAGTTTTCTGATATTTCCGTAATTTTTTTTATTCCAACATGGTAGATTTTCCCCTTCAGTATGGAGATCAAATCGAGGATCTTAGCCATGAAAGCACTCTACCACTGAGCACCACATCCTCAGCCCTTGCATGGTAGAATTTTTTAAAATATATGTAGTATATTATAAGTGTTTCCTATATGTCTTTTTATATCCCAAGATTCAATAAATAACTGCCTATATTATATGTGGAATTTGTTGGGATATATCATTTATTTATTTATTTATTTTGTGGTGTTGAGGATTGAACCCAGTGCCTCACACAGGTAAGGCAAGTGCTTCTACCACTGAGCCATAAGCCCAGCCCAACATTGTTTTTTAAGACATGATTTCCTCACTGATTTGAAGTGCCGCCTATGTATTTGTCTGTATGTACTATTGTTTTGTTTTCTTCTTTGTTTTTATCCCACCAGTTGCTGATACATAATTAAGCTATGGGTTGTTGTTAACCAGTCGTTTCACACAGCCTTCTCAACATTGTAGTCTTTCAGATGGACTCTTAGGTTTTCTGAGTAGAAACTTTTATATACCAAGGTGATCGTTTTGGTTTTTTCTTTCTAATAATGCATCATTAAATTGCATTGTCTCGAACCTGCAGCACAATCATTAAATGTGGTAGTATTGATACTAATATCCTTGTCTTGTTCCTCATTTAGCAGTGACCATCATATTTCTTCATTTTTCCTAGATGTCTCTACTTTAGTTAGAAGATGCCCCAACCTTGTCCATCTGGACTTAAGGTATGTTTTTGTTTTTTATTTTAAATCAAAAGTTGAAAACTCTGGACTTCTCATTGATTGGGGGACAGAATCCTAATGTTGAATGGAAGGAACTGAGCAGTAGCGTTCTCCATCCAGGGTGGTTTTGAATGTCCTCTCTTCTGCTTTGTTACAGTGACAGTGTCATGCTAAAGCATGACTGCTTTCCAGAATTTCTCCAGCTCAGCTACCTCCAACACCTGTCACTCAGTCGGTGCTATGATATAATTCCTGAAACTCTACTGTGAGTATGTTTTGGTTTTGTATTTTTTATTTATATTTTTAAAATTTTATTTATTTTTTAATTCTTGTAGAAGACAGGGACCAACAGAGATTCCATTTGGTATTAAAATCCGTCACTATTAATAGCAAACATTTAAACTTAAATATTAAGATTAGCATATACAAGCTAGCTGGGAAAGACCAGCAAAATAGAAAAGCCAAAGCAGAGTTCTTGCTTGAAATATCTAATAAAGTTGAGTTGACTGAGATTGTTCACTAAACATTTGTTATTACACTGTCAGCATTTTAAAATACGAGAATACTGTGTGGTATCTTTGAAAGACTCGCAAAAGAAGCTTAAGCAAGCCTTTACCTCCAGAGCACTCGGAGTATAATTGGGAAGGCAGACCCCATGTGAGTGAATGGGTTTCCCTGCCTACCCCACCCCCTGCCCAAAAAAGAGTTTCAAATCAGCTCTAATTAATTCAAAAGCCTTCATCTGGACTTAAATAAAAAGTTCTGTAAGAGTGATATACGACCTGGATGGTCAAGGAACATGAAGAATCATAGCATGTAGGTGGTGTATATTCATGAGAGTCTCAATGCTGTCTGAGCAGAAGGACTGTCAGTGAAGTAACTTATCCAGATGTGATGGTGAGTTACTGCCTGAGCTGGGTCTAAATTTGAGAGTTCCTGGAAAGATGCAAGAGTTTGGTGGTTTAATTTTACCTGCTTAACAATTTCTACAGTCAAGAAGAGTATAAAAAATAAAAGCAATTGAATCCATCTTTCTTTTAGGAAGTGTTTATACCTAAAGTGTCTTGGGAATAATATCATCGTCTCTTCATTTTTAAAAGTTTTCCTTTATTTTATCCCAGAGGGCTGTAATAGTCTTCCTAATGACTAATGTAAATGTATAGCAATTTCACTGCAAACCACAAGAGGTCAGTATTTTGCCCTTGGTCAGGTGCTCTTTATTACAGTCAGTCAATATTAGTCTCCATATTAGGCTGCTATGCTCATTTAGCTCAGTATCCAAATGACGGTAACTTAGATTTAGCTACCTACCTAAGGAAAGTGGTGAATTTAAACCGAAAAATTATTTAGTTCTCAAATTAATGCTTTGGATCTTGTAAATTAGATTTTCGTAGTTAATGTTTAAATCAGATACTTCAGCTATATCAGGTTAACTAATATTGGGAAATCTGGTACTTGTATGATTAATTATTTTAATGAATGAATGTCAGGGCTCAGGGATTTAGCTGGTACCTCATTTGGAAAAGCATTACCTAAAAAAGATGCCACTATTTACCTGCATGGCTCTCAAATGTTGGGATCTAAACTCGTAAACATGGGACTCTAATTAATTAAATTCCTGCCTCTCTATTTTCTAGCATCCAGAACTCCTAGGAGCCTCTAGAGTCTACCCAAAAAGGTTTCTCTGTCATCTTTTCTCTCCTGCCTTTGCCATCTGGGCTCCCACTTCTTTGCCAGGAGAGAATTCTTTTCTGGTTTCTTTTCTCAAGAGAATCTATCCATATGTCTTGTTTTGGTCCCTTCTCTGCAGAAACAAAGAAGCTAAGAAGGTAATAACCCAGACACTTCTCCTCAACCAGAGGTGAGGGGAGGGCTGTGAGCCCTGATATTTTAATGTTTGTGTCCAATGGGATAATTGTACTACCTGTATTAGTAATCCTCACAGCCAGTGTGAACTGACGGTTCAGGCCTGGGCCTGGAATCATTACAGAAAAGGTGTGAACCTTCTCTGCATTATTACTTAGTTTTCTAAATCTTACCTTGAAATAAGAGTAATGGGCATCAGGAGTTTAGTTACAAGTCAGAGTGCCAGCAAAGAGTGAGAACAAGAAGAAAGATACTGTCCTTGAATGTTAAGGCCAAGAGTGTTTCTTTAGGTATAATGTAAACAGTATGATGGTTTTACATGATAAATCCCTTAAGATTTTGTTTGTTCGTACCCTATCCTTAAGTCTCTCAAAACAAAATGCCTTGCCCAGTAATTTCATTCTGCAGCTGATATATTTTAAATTTATAATTAAAACTTCCAGGTGCCTCAACAATAATTTCCAGAGAGCCAGTCATCTGTGCTAAAGAATTCAAAGATATTGACCCCTTATCTAAGAAGTGGGAAAATAAAATTTGAATGTTTGTTCTGTAATAATAATTGAGAAATACTGACAAACTTCAGGTTTTTCCTCCTCACATCCTCTCATATTTATTTCCTTATTCCTTAATTGGTCTTATCTCCCACATCTAAACTCTCTTCTAAATATTCCCTTTATCACTCAAGTAAGAAATCTAAGATGAGGAGAGTAAATTGATCTCACATTAGGAGAGACTTAAACATTCTTGTTAGGAGAATCAGTAGTGGAGGCATTTTCGGTTTTAAAAAGGAAAACAGGATTATGTAGATGAGGAGTAAACTGAGTTTATAAAGATTTTTTGTTTACTAAAATTGAAAAGAGATCCTGAAGACATTGCCATCGTCATTTTACACTTCTTAAATTAGAAATAATGGCTTTTAAACTAATTTCAGTTCAGTATCCCTGCGTTCATTTACATTCTCCATGTAATGTCAGAGATACTTGCAGTTTCTCTGTTATAGGTAATGCATGTAACAAGAGGCGGTGTTTTTGTCCTCTTTAAAATTTTGAAGACTCTGATCCTTGACCCCTCATCAGCCCATCCCATGTGGCTCCCTTCTGTGACTCTGAGAGGGCTGTGTGATTTCCGTCCTCAACAAATCTCTCTCCAATGATGTTGTGAGAACATTTCCTCCTCTGCCATCTGTCATCCCTCCTCCTTTTCTCACTCCCACCTACAGTTCCTTTTAAATATTACCCGCTGCAGAATGATTCACAACTCAGCTGCTTTGGTTATCCCAGAACCAGAATTCTCACAGTTATACGGTTCTTATACACTTAGATTTCACATAAGAAGGATGTGAAGTTAGATAGGATTATGATCATCTTCAGTAATAAGTATAAAGATCTATGGATCGGGACTTGATTCCACAGTCCAGAAAGTAGCTTGCTTTAAAAACAACAGCTATTTGTTCTTCTTGATTTTTTTTTTTATTTGTTATGACCTTCAGATCTCACTGTCCCCCTATGAACAAGCATATTTTATTTGAATAGTGCTTTTGTTTTCCACAGTACCCATCATCTTGTATTAAGCTAACATCTATTAAATATCTGTGGTGCTTAAGATCCTTTCTGAAATGTAGAATAAATACAGTTTAGAGGGAAAGTGGGAAGGCTGGAAGAGCCAGTTTAGAACAGAAGGTCTTATAGCCTGTTGAATAGTCTGCAGGAAACACCCAAGGTTTGGGGGTGGATGAGTGCCATAATCTGAGCAAGGCTTTATAAGGACTCCTTGGACAATGGTGTAGAATGTGCTTGAAGGAAGAGGTTGGAAGCCATGTGACAGTTCTTAAAAACGCACATTTGAGTAATTATTGACAATAAAAACCCAAAGGATGCTTCTAACTCAAGGTCATTGATGTGCTGTTCATTGATCTGCAGTGGGCTTCTGTTGAAATTCCAAAATAAATGTTCTGTTTCCTGAGACTTTGTACTGTGTCCCAACCTGGAGCAAATACAGATCAGAGATGAATTTCTAGGCACATAGATCTGTGTTAAGAATCATTACCAAAACCAAAAAGTATTTCCATTGTGGAAATAGACTTCATTTTCTTTTTTGTGAACCAAAATCTCACTGTTGACACAGTTGCTTTTCACCTAATATAAAACACCAAAGAAGGGGACTGACTCACCTATCTGTGATAGGTAAAATGGTAATACACAGAACAGCTTTAAGAGGCTCCCACCTCCTAGAAAAGTGAGATTTTTTTTTTTTTTTTCCTCTTAATCTGCACCCAGCTCCATGATCTTAGGGAAGTCACTGGTAAGTTTCATCACATATAGTGGACCTGTTCACTGTGAACTATTATCAAAAACCCTGCTGAAATCTTTTGAGATGGAGCGTCTTTCAAATGGAGGTCATGTCCACATCCTTAAAATCCACCACCGTCTGTGGTGGTTCCAACTGATGCCACAGCAAAACATTTATGTTAATCATCACTAGCTTGCTGCCTCACAGCACAGTAACCCCTTTGAGATCAAGAATGGAGAAAGGAAGCAAACACAGTTGGATTTCAAATAAACCTTGGAGAGGATTCTAAGGTTGTTAGGAGTCTCATTTAGCAAAAGGCACAGGTATGATTTCCAGGTTGTTCCACCTTTACATTTCCTCAAATCATTTACTGTGAATTGCTTCCAATTTGCATTTTGTGAAATGTGGTACAAAAGTAAAAACTGGGCCATGTAGTGAGTCAATAGTTTCCCTAGATATTGCTTCTCTAAAAGTATCTTTCTTCCTTTCCAGTGAACTTGGAGAAATTCCCACACTAAAAACACTACAAGTTTTTGGAATCGTGCCAGATGGTACCCTTCAACTGTTACGGGAAGCCCTTCCTCATCTGCAAATTAATTGCTCCTATTTCACCACCATTGCCAGGCCAACTGTCGGAAACAAAAAGAACCAGGAGATATGGGGCATCAGGTGCCGACTGACACTGCAAAAGCCCAGCTGTCTATGAAATTATTTCTTGTAGGATGGTGTCTCCTCTTCCTTTGGAATGGGGAAAGTAGGCAGGAAGCCCAATTACTGAGCACTGGGCTAGTTTTTATTATTCGTTTTCCCTTAACCTTTATCCTGCAAGTAAATTAGGAAACCATTTTCAGGGGAAAACAATGAAGTGTTGCCTTTTTTTAAATAACTATAAAAGTTTCTATCAATGCTATGCCCTTAAGAACCTAAGTTGTAGGCCATCAGAAATTTTAGGAGTTTGAGCCTATGATTTCAATTTACTTTTTTACATAGCAAAATTTGTGCCATTTTCTCCAAGTGCCCTTTGGATTAAGTCTTATTTAGAATCAAGCTTAAAAAATGACTTACGGCTAATGATTTTTATAGCCTTTGTGATAACTTTTTTATCTATTTAATTTTTCAGTATTGTTTAATAAGACATAGTTTGGAAGAACAATAAGCTATGTGTAGGGTGAGCTTAACAGAAAGAGTCATAAGATAGTAGCATTTAAGGTATCTGGGAATTTAAAAAAACATTTCATTTCTATCTTAAGATTTGGAATTAGCTTAACAGAAACATATCCCCACATCTTAAACCCTCAAACAAATTAAACATATGGCCAGAGGTATAGAGTTGGTATAGGATGTGAAGGCTCAAGAAGTAATTTTCTATGCCAGGTTAATCAGAAGTATCCTTTAATATCACTAAGGTACTGTGTTCCTGAAATATAATTGTGGTTTCTAATTTTATAATCAAATTATGTTAACATGAGTTGTTTAGCTTTTAAATGAGTTGCTTTGTTTTTGGAAGGTGGTATTAACCTATTCAGTCTCTATTCTTGAAAAATTGGAAGAGTTCTGAACTGATACCGCCTGCTGTTTTCCTTTAGTGCTAAGTTTATTTGTATATTACTCTGGAATCAAGTATTTTAAATTGCCTTTTTTAAATATGGTCTTTTGCAATAATTGTTTGAAACTACCCACTTTATAGGGTTATTGATCTTAAGAATTGCTTGTTCCGGTAAATCAGAAGTACACACTAGAAGCAAGTGTATTTTCCATGCAGTTTCAGGACAGTCTGCACTGGCACCTATGTAAGAGTTAGTACTCAGGTGTTGAACCTTTTAGTAATATGAGTGGGTTTGTTTTTTAAAAAACCTCTCTCATCAAGACAAAAAGATCAAGCTCTGCTTTTTAAAAATCACAAAAACACTAGTTTTAAGTCAGTGACCTCCCCATATGTGCAAAATGTAACAAAAAAGCCAAAATCCATCATTTTTCTATTAACTGGTTTTATTTTAATCAAAGATTTTAAATGTTAAAAACAGTAGCATGAAGTGCCCTTATCTGCTCAGACCTAAGGAAGAAAATTTTAAAGTAGTGTTACACAAGGAGATGATTATGTGTCTATTTCTTATTAGCTAAAAAAGTGCTAAATACTACTTGAAATTATTGTTTACAGATTAGTGACAAGGGCTGGTGGTAGGATCCGGTTGGACTTACTTCCGGATGCCCTCAAACATACAGTGCCTGTACTTCCAAACTCAAGTCCAGCCATAAGCTATTTTGCCAACATGTCGGAGTAATCTGTATTTTTGTATGTGATTTCTACTTTTATAAACTTGTTTTAAAATAAAACACATTTTTATAAAAATGAGTGCTTGAGCCAGGTTGTATCCCTTTTTATACTTTCTTTTCTAAGTGTGTCATTAAAATGAAAAAACATTCAGAGTGGGCTGCCATTTGACCAGAGGCCTCTGAGATTCTATAAAACAGCACAAAATACCATCCTTTTTACTTCATAATGATTGTCATATTAAAATGATAGTTTATAATGCATTTTGAAAAGATGCTAAATATCAGCTTATTATTTTTAAAGTGCCTGCAAAAGCAAGGACATTTACAAAACATTTGCATTCATGTGACTAAAGTGATAGTCAAGTTAATAAAAATCAGCTAACACTTTTAAATACAGACGTGATCAGCTTAAACTGTGTATCTTAATGTCATTAGGAAACTTTCATATTTTATGCCCAGAAGGTTTCCCAGAGTTCAGTTCCTTTTGAAGCTATTTTCAAATGGTAGAATAGTGATTGTTTAATAATACCTAGTTTTGTTTATTCTTATACATTTTCACTACCATGCTTTTTAATGAAAAATGTCAAATACACGTGGGTAAGTAGAGAATATGACAAACCCATCACCAGTCACTATCCATGATTGCCATCCCTTTTACTCCCTAGACAGATAATTTTTAAACAAAACCCAGTCCTGTAATTTCATAACTATTTCGGTATATACCTCTAAAAGATAGGGATTCTCCTGAATTAATTCTGATGCATTGAATATCAGGATGATATTGAAGATCTCTGAGTTGTCTCAAGTGTTTTCATTCTTGAGTTTGTTCTGATCAGACTCCTACATGGTCCACACATTGCATTTCATTGACAGTCTTAAAGTTTTAATCTTCAAGTGCCCTCTTGCAGTTCCCTTGCAATTTGCTTATTGGTCATTTATTTATTAGACAATAAATGGGCTTGTTTTGTTTAATAAGTTATTTTTGTTTAGTGAACCTAAATACTAAAAATGCTGATATTTTTATATTTCTTTAAATGAATAACAAAAATCTAAGTTCCAATTTTGAACATTAAAAATCAATATTTAAGACATTCAAATTTTAAATGATTTTTATCTCTGGCTCCTTGTTTAAATGATTTTTATCTCTGGCTCCTTTTTTATTTATCTTTTATTTATATATGACAGCAGAATGCATTACAATTCTTATTACACATATAGAGCACAATTTTTCATATTTCTGGTTGTATACACAGTATATTCACACCAATTTGTGTCTTCATACATGTACTTTGGATAGTAATGATCATCACATTCCACCATCATTAATTACCCCTTGCCCTCTCCCTTCAGCTTCAACCCTCTGCCCTATGTAGAGTTCATCTATTCTTCCCATCCTCCCACTCCCTATCCCACTATGAATCAGCCTCCTTGTATCAAAGAAAACATTCGGCATTTGGTCTCTTGGGATTGGCTAACTTCACTTAGCATTATCTTCTCTAACTCCATCCATTTACCTGCAAATGCCATGATTTTATTCTTTTTTAATGATGAGTAACATTCCATTGTGTATATATGCCACATTTTTTTACCCATTCATCTACTGAAGGGCACCTAGGTTGGTTTCACAGTAGGCTATTGGTGTGGCTGTGTCCCTATAGTATGTTGTTTTTAAATTGTTTGGGTATAGACCAAGGAGAGGGATAGCTCTGTCAAATGGTGGTTCCATTCCTAGTTTTCCAAGAAATCCCCATACTGCTTTCCATATTGGCTGCACCAATTTGCAGTCTCACCAGCAGTGTATGAGTGTATCTTTTTCCCCACATCTTCGCCGACATTTATTGTTTGTCTTCATAATAGCTGCCATTCTGATCGGAGTGAGATGAAATCTTAGAGTGGTTTTGATTTGCATTTCTCTAATTGCTAGTGATGATGAACATTTTTTCATGTATTTGTTGATCTTCTGAGAAGTGTCTCTTCAGGTCCTTGGCCCATTTTTATCTGACTCCTCCTTGTTTAGTGATTTTCTTAAAAATGTCTTAAAACCTATGAGTTAACACTTCATACCTTCCTTATTGTACAAAATAAGTCTGACTTATACTCCCAGCCCCTCATGAGTATGTTTAAAATAAAAAAAACTGCATTTGAAAAAAATAACTCAACTCTTCTTTAGTTCAGCAGTATAGTTACTTACTTGATCCCCCCACCACTATGTAGTTTTTTTTTTCCATATTACTTAGTTGTTACGTAATCCCTGGGATCTTTTATTACACAATAGCTAATTATCCTTAAGTATAAGGATATTGGTGCAATGGAATGAATTTTTATTAAATAGTTCTAAATATACATTGCTATTTTCACAGGTGAGCAACAGGTCAACAAGGAGCAATAATTTATTCTTAAATTTATATTTGACAAAATTTTTAAATTCAAGTGAATATTTTACACTAAGATTTTTCTGATTGAAAAGAGAAGACTATATATTTGGTAAAACCTGATTTGAGGTTCTAGGACCATGAATATAGATGCACGTAGAACATCAAAAATATTGGGTTAAAATTATCTTCAAACTACATTTTCCAGGTAAGCACTTCACCCCTCTGATTAACATTATCACTCTGTGTCAAAGATTAGCAGTGAACAAAGTCTACAGGACACAGAATAATACATAGCAGCTGGGGGACAGACTTTTCAAACAGTGTTTTTTGTTTGTAGCTGTATATGGACAGAATGCCTTTATTTCTTCATGTTTATGAGGTACTAAGGATCGAACCCAGTGCCTCAACACGTGCTAGGCAAATGCTCTGCCTCTGAGCTACAGCCCCAGACCTCAGAGTGTTTTAAGAAACTTGGTTTTCAAATAATAATCTATGAGTTAAGGAAATGATCAAATAAAAAGGAACTAACAAAGGTTTAATTTTATTCACATGTAGTTGCCATTAAACAGTTAACTCATTCATAAAAACATCTGTTATTCTAACATCTTTTGCCACTCATCTCTCAGAAATGAATTCCCACCATGGAGCAGAAGTTATATTGCAAATGGAGCAGAGTAAGTATTCTTAAAACCTTTAAAAATATGGCATATGAACAATTTCACACAATACGTTGCCTATTAATGTTACATATTAACATCTATGGTAACATGTGAATAATCAGATTTCCTTCCAATATTAAAGGCAGAGTTGACATTTTTTTCAAGAAAGTATTTAAAACCTGTTAGAGTGGTTAATCCATAGTATGGAATTTAACTTCTTTCTTATATATATCATTTTTTGAAAAAAAAATCAGATCCAGCTCTGGGAAAACTGATCTTTATTTTATTTCCATCTGATGTATCAATAAATTTGCTCTAACAGTCTACGCAGGTACTCTTAATTAAGAGAAAAACAGATTCTTCTCCATTATACATCAACACCTAGACCACTGTTGTACATTAACATTTTTAAAAGTATGGATAAAAGTAACATGTTAATCATTGGCAAAACTAAGAGCACTCATTTGACTACATATCTTAGCTTTCACGGAATTTTTACTTCTGAGGTCACTAGTCTCAAATACTATGGACTCTCTCTCATTCATTAATGTAGATCAAGCACCTGACACAGAATAGATGACACGGTGAGGTTCATAAATATTTATCAATGACAACTGTTTTCACCATCAAGTGAAAAAAATATACAACTGAATAAATGGCATGATAATACCACTTCATCTTGCAGCAGTAAGAGCATTCTGTGAAAATTCTAGGGTTAAAGAATAAAATAATTTCCTCCAAAAATAAAGGAGTTCTCATAATGGGGGGAAAAGCCACGGCATTTTATCCTACAAAGCTATTATGCAAAATTTGAAAATAAGTGAAAACCTCAATACTGAGCTACAGCCCTTGCTTTTGAAAAGCAAAGACATATTTGTTTATTAATCCATCCTCTGACAATATTAACACTAGATGAAAATATTTGTTAAAGATAATACCAAAAGAAAATGTCTCCTAATAGAAGATGTCCCATCAGTTCTTACTTTTAGTTCCTGAATCCATGTTAGAGAGTTTTAAAGATGGAAAACACCTATTGGACTCAAATCATTTTTTAAAAATTGACCCAAAATAGGTACTGGATAATTACAACATTTTTAACAGCATCATGACTTTGTCCCATTGGTGTATTCCACCCAGTATTGTTGAAATTAACTAGAAGGAACATCAAATGGAAGTATCTGCAATTTCAAAAGTGATTTAAATTTTTAAATCAAAAGTCACCACTTCATTGTGTCCTAGAATTAGAAAATTCTTAGCACATATTAAAAAACACATTAACCTACTTCAATTAGGTGAATGTCAAGACTTAACAAAATTCCCCATCATCAAAAATTTTAAAAAATTTGACAGGTACTATAAAAAAATATTCCACAAAAGGAGAGGGAAGCAAAAAAAAAAAAACAACCCAAAAAACTACCACACATACAGTCAAATTTAACTTGTACAGTTAAATTTTTAAATCCTAAACGTTGAATCCTTTATTTAAGCCTGCCTCTCTAAATTTGAAAAGATACCAACGCTCTTGGTTAACAATTGTAAATAGTAGAGAAATTTACTATTATCAATTCTAATACATTTAGTTCATTTTTCTCACAGAATGAATATCTTTTTTTTCTATCAGAATCCAATAGAAGATTATTATCTCACTTTCTTTGTCACCTTTGAGCCCAGGAGCAACCAGTCCTAATAACCACCAAAACAAAAAAACAGTGTAGCTTTATGGCTGATGATCTGTTTCCACAGTAAAAATATTTTTCCAGTAATCAAAATTTGCAATCTGAGGAAATCCTTCACTGTTCTAGTAGCACAGTTCGAAGCTCATCTTCTTTATTGATCATCATTGAAGCAATTGCTCCATCATTAAATTCAAAAGAAGTTCCTCCATCCACAACCATACAGGCATCCCAACAACGAGAACGAACACAAACCCTAAGTAGAAGGAAACATTAAATATTGAGTTTCCTTAACCCTAAACAATAATTGATTTAAATTTTTATCTAAATTAGCAAATAATTTCGGCTTGATTTTAACAGTTAAGTTGCTCTTTGGCATGAGAGAATTAGCAACCACATAAATAATATAGGCATATTATCAAAGTCTCAAAATTTACATGTTCCAGATAGTACCCAATATTTATCAGTGAAGAAGTGCAGAGCTGATGGAACTAACAGGCTGTTTTCATATGACTGCTAAGTTATTACCATTACAAATATGTTAAATATTAAACAAGAATGTTATTTTCATGTAAATTTTTTACTTATGGTTAACACAGAAGAGGCCCAAATCACTAAGATACAGCTTAACTGACAAACTTACATAAATGTCACCCAAATCAGGAAATCAGTGCCCTCTCCCAGTTGCCTTCTTCTTTCCCAAGCATATCCACCATTCTAATTTCTAACACAATAGTAATAGTTTTATCTGTTCTTAAACTTTAGTAAAATGTGTAAAAATAACATTTATATAACAGGTATCATAGTACATCAGTTTAATTTTCATTTCCTGGATGAACAATAATGTCAAGCACCTTTCTCATGCTTACTGGATACCCACTTTTTGTGAAATGCCTAAGACTTTTGGTGCTTTTTCTACTGGTTTGGCTACCTTTTCATTGATTTGCAGAAATTTTTATATACAGGTTGAGTATCCCTTATCCAAAATGCTTGGAACCAGACAAGTTTTGGATTTTAGATTTTTTTCAGATTTTGGAATATTTATATACAAATAATGACATATCATGGGCTTGGGACCCAATTCTAAATACAAAATTCAATTGTTTTATGTATACTTTATATATACATAGACTGCAGGTAAATGTATACAATATTTATGATTGTAAATGTATACAATATTTCTAGAATGTATGCATTTTTGACTGTAACTCATCACATGACATCGGGTATGTAATTTTCCACCTGTATCTTCATGTCTGTGCTCACAAAGTGTAGGAAACTGAAGCATTACAAACTAGATTTTCAGATGGGATGTTCAACCTGTACATCTATTCTGGCTATGAGCCCATTGCTGCAGATAAGTTTTGCAAAGCTTTCTCACTCCAGCTTGCCTTTTTCTTAATAGTATCTTTTGATTATTAGAAATTCTTAAATCTAGTATAATTAAATTTATTAGGGAGTCACTTTTAGGGAAAAGGTGACAGAAATGAACCCCACTCCAACCAGGTGGTGTACACCAGTAATTCCAGCAAAGTTGGGAGGCTGAGGCAGGTGGATCATAAGATAGGGGCCAGCCTCAGCAATTTAGTGAGGCCCTAGGCAGCTTAGTGAAACCCTATATGGAAAATTTTTTTTGAAAAAAGAGCTGGAAATGTAGCTCAGTGTTAAAATGCCCCTGGATTCAATCCCTCATATCAAAAATAGAAAAAAAGAAATGAATCCTACTCTAACTTTGTGAGCCAGGCACAGTGGCACATACCTATTATTCCCAGGTACTTGGAAGCCTGCAGCAAAAGGATCACAATATGAGGTCAACTTCAGCAATTTAACAAGACTCTGAAAATTTTTTTAAAAAGGGGGTGAGGCCCTCCGAGAATGTAACTCAATGGTATAGGGCCTCTAGGTTCAATCCCTATATTACTGTAATAAACAAATATTAATTTGTTCTTATTGTCTCGACACATTAAAAATACAGTAAATCAACATCACCCAATTAAATAAATATACACCTTCTTTTCACTTAAATTTTGGTTTCCCTAAACTAACAATAAATTTGAAAGAAAGTGTTTTAGCCAGGTAGGCATGATACCTCATTAGTTGCACAGATTCTACTTTTCCTGATTGAGTAAGTTAAATAAATGAATCTAATGAAGCTGAATACTCTTACAAACAAATGTGATTTTAATGGATGACAGAGATGAAGAGAGCCACAAATCAGACCAAGTATGCTTACTTTGAGGAGAAACAACGCTGACGACTGCTTGAGAAAACTCTGTTTGCTATTGGTTCTCGAATACTGAAAAGTATTTTTGGTTCTTCTGGACTGTACAGCAGTGATTCATTATATTCATTTGTTACTACAAAGGGGAAAAAAAAAAACAGTAGCACATTCAAAAAGGATAGTCACTTCTGAGAAGGGTAAAATGAAATATAAAGGCCATCCCCAATTTAAAAAGGCACTCTGTTCCAAAGGTCTGTTAGGTAGCAAGTTTCCTGGCACTTACAACATATATCCCACGAAAAGAACACCAAAAACAAAAGCCTTAGAAAAGCCTTAGAAATAAATATCAGGTTCCACAATTATTAGCCCACAGTACAATGGAAATAGATACAGTTTGGGGAGGGGGGGGTGCTGGGGTAAGTTACTATAAAGCTAGTAATGAAGAAACAGAACTAGTTAGACACACTCAAAAATGTAACTCAAGTTGTCATATTCTCCTGACAAGTTCTTTCCAGAGCTCCATGTCAAAGAGTTGAGGTTAATACTCTTGATATAAAATTCAGTCTCAAACAATGATAGGCAACATGCTTTCTTCAATGAAACTGTCATTACTCAAGATATTTCTAGAAATCAGTAGGCCCTGCTTTCTCTCCATCCAAGAGGCACAGGAAGGTTGGCATGAAAAGTACAAGTGGTTAAAGACAACTGTATAAGATGGTGCAGTGGCACATGCCTGTGGTCCCAGCTACTCAAGAATCTAAAACAAGAGAATCACTTGAGCCCAGGAGTTTAAAGGCTACTATGGGCAGCACAGCAAGAAGCTCTTTATAAAAAAAAAAATAAATAAGGTGATGAGAAGGAGGAGGTTTGAGTGGGGGGTACACCTGTATAAAGAAATCAGGCTTGAAAGTAAGTTTAGTTGAGCACCATGTTAAAAAAAAAAAAAAAAAATCACAAGCCTGTCAAATAATCTACTTTTTTATGAAAATATAATCTGAATTACAAATACTCCTCAACTTAAAACAGAATTACATCTTATAAACCCACCATGAGCTAAAAATATTGTAAATTAAAATCACCTAACCCACTAAACATCATAGCGACACAGAATCTAGGGTATTAACTATTTCCTCTCCCAATCTTATAGCAAATAGGGAGCTGGAGCTCACTGTCATGGGAAAAGATCAATATTCAAAATTCAAAATACAGTTTCTCCTGAATGCACAACACTTTTGCATTATCAAGTTGAAAAACCATATTTGGCTCTTTAAAAACTTCATCTACCCACAAAAATTAAAATTGGCCTCCTTGGGAACACATCACATAAAACATGTTAGCTCTGACAGAAAATTCACAATAGTTCCAGGAACATCTGTCACAGGGATTGTATCACTGGCATTCACCACTACTTTTGAATAAGACAGTCAAATCTTCAAAGTAAAAACATCCATAAAGCTATTATATATTAAGATAAAAATATACATTTTATATATATAATTTATATGTCTGACATGACTTCAGTTTCACATATATTTTTTAGGTCTTTGACATATATTTGTACAAATTTATGAGGCACAATGTGATGTTCTGATTCATGTATACACTGAGTAGTGATCAACTCAGGGTAATTAACATATCTGTCACCTTAAACTTTTATCATTACTTTATGGTTATATTTTAAGTTAAATTATATAATTAAGAATTGATTATTATGGGTGTCTAATTTTCCTTCCTTTGATACACATTTAATGCTAATGCTAGTTGATAAACCACAATTAAAATAATCTTTTTGGTCTCAAATTCAAATAACAGAATCTTTTGTAAAGAGATGAAGCCATGAAAAGATAAACACAGACAAGGAAGAACCTTCCATAATGGCACACTGAATTAGGGCATGCCTTTCCTATTTGGAGGACATGAATTTTCCTATACCCCATTACATGTCTACAGTTCAATGTTTTGATATAAGAATTATATTTAGGGCTGTGGTTGTGACTAACTGGTAGAGCACTTGCCTAGTATGTGTGAGGCACTGGATTTGATTCTCAGCACCACATACAAATAAATAAAGGTTCATCAACATGTAAAAAAATATTTTTAAAAAAGGGTTATATTTCATAGTTGACAATATTCACAAAATAAAAGTCCAACTTTAATTTAAACTTTAAATGTAGTTATATTATTTAACTACATTTAAAAAGATGAATTAAAGAGCACGTTTGAATCCAAAAAAGTACTGTGCTTTCCTAATTGAACAATATTCCACATTGTCATTCTCAAAATTAATTCAAAACTAAATTGTTATTTATATTAATGATGAATATCATCTGTTACTGACCTTTCTCTACCAATTCTCTGTTTAATGGAAGATTCAAATTTCCTTGTCGTTTTGCTAATAAAAGAGAAAAAGGGAAATATCTTCATTAAATAGTTTATATCATATAATAACTAATACATATCATATATGCATTATATAGCATATAATAATCATGTTATAACATGTAATAGCTGTTTTGGTACTCACCAATATTTAAAACATCTTCCACAGCCTGAGTTGCAACCCTGTTAATATTGAATGACCTAGAAACAAAAATCACATAATTCTTTTTTGTATTAATTCTAAAAACATGCTTAACATGAAAAGTGAACAATCTACTCAATACACAAAGAATCCTTAGAAATTATTGTTACAAATGAACACAGTTAACAACTGACAATGTTTTGATATAGGTATTAGAAAAGAAGTATTCTCATATACTGTTAGGAATACAACAGCTACAGTTGGAAAGTAATTATGTACTATCAAACTTTAAAATGAACATACTTCTCAATCTAGCAATTTATCCTAAAATATACTTCAAAATATAATGTACTTGGATATATACAGGAAAACTTACTGAAGCACTGTTTATAACTGTAAAACAACTCAAATACACACCCAGAGGAAGGTGATGAAATAAATTATATTAGAGCTACTAGTTATATGATATTAAAAAGAACTGCTGAGTGTAGCTGTGCACTCCTTTAATCCGAGCTACTTGGGAGACTGAGGCAAGAGTATCGCAAGTAAGAGGCCAGTAACAATTTAGAAAAGTCCTAGACAATTTAAGGAGACCCTATCTCAAAATAAAAAAGATTGGGGATGTACCTCAGTGGTAAAGCACAAGAGAACAAGAGAGAGACAGACAGACACAGACAGATGCAGTGAGAAAGAGAAACAAACCATCAATATGTGCTGATGTGGAAGGATAACTAAGATATTAAGTTAGAAAACAAGAGGCATTATAATAAGGTGTGTGTACATACTAGAGCTATGAAATGATAAATACTAACTTTTCACTATATATATCCTTTTGTACTATATAACATGTTACTTTAATAGTTTCCTCGAAGATGAGAAATGTACCTGTACAATGCCAAATTCTGTCACTTAAAAATAAATATTAGTACAAAATAGATAACCTTTTTTAATTTTTTTAAATGGACTTTTGTTTTATTCATTTATATGCAGTACTGGGAATTGAACCCAGTGCCTCACCCATGCTAGGCAAGCACTGTGCCACTGAGTCACAACCCCAGCTCCTAAAATAGATAACTTTTACAAATATTCCTGTCCTGACATTTATAAAGATCATAAGGAAAGGTTTTTTTAAAAATTCAGATAATTTAAACTTCTACTGCCTCATACTTCCTCTTACATGAACTTATGAACCAACATAACTTAAACTTAAATCAGTGGCTCTTAACTTCAGTGCAGGAATTACTCCCTAAACCCTCTAACTCTATACATTCACATTTGTATACAAATGTAAAAACACTTTGGATATTCAAGAAAAACTATAGACACACAAAAATTTACGTGTAAAATTTACACTCCAATTTCACATTCCAATCACACCAACTTCATTCTTGCCTCTCTACCTTCGCTCAGACTTTTGAATTACAATATATAATAGGCAAAAGACAGTGACTAGTATGTCCTTATAATAAAGACAATTTATAAGGAGTTTTTTTTAAGTCTTTTTAAAGTTTTTTTTAAGTCTTTATAAATTTCTAACTCCTCTGAATTACAACTAGATAAGATTATTTTCCTATGGTTGTAATCTAGACCTTAGTGAATTCATAACTATCTTTAGGAAAGAAAGACCAAGAGTATGCCTACACAGGTGTTAGCTAGGACACAACATACTTTTTGTTAGTTCTAAAATCTTCACCATTCTAAGAGTTCCCATTTGAAATCAGATATAACCTATAATAAATTGAACCAGGCATAATGACACACATCTGTAATCCCAGTGACTCAGGCGGCTGGGGCAAGAAGATCAGCCTCAACAAGACCTATATCAAAATCAAAATAAAAAGGACTGATGATGTTATTAATAAGGCACCCCTGGCTTTAATCCCCAGGTACAAAAAAAATTTAAAAATTTACACAAGAAAATGGAAGGTAAACTGAGTAGCTTTTCTTCATCTGCTACTAATATTCCATGCACAGAAACACCTCTTCACTCTTATGTCTAATAGTGTAGAATGTATGGAGGAGAACTGGGAAGAGTCTTAAGAAGAAACTCTGAAACACTCTAGAGTATTTGTGAGAAACTAGATAATGTAATTATAACATACTTCCAAAGTATTTGTGGAAAATTAAATAATGTAATTATCTTGGCAGAGAACTGCAATAAGGGGAGAGCTCAGAGGCACTTGGTATGCAGGACAATCACTATACCCCACCCCTGTGGAACAATTTCTAGAAATGCAAAGATGAAATTCCCTGTAATTTTTTTCTTCCCTGGACACATAGTTAGGCTTTATTTTCTAGTCCCTCTGGCCAAATAATCACGTGACTGAGTTCTAGCTAAAAGAATCATGATAGATGACACTTCCAAGCCTGGCTCCCCAGTCTTCCAGGAAACCCTCCATGGTTTTCCTCGTCTTGTGGCTTGATATAGATGAGTACAGCGACTTCAAGAGCTGTGTCTAAAAGATGGCAGAGTTACAGAATGGAAGGAACCTGGCCCCCTATATAACCACTTGAAGGGGAGCTACCTGTCAATTAGGAATATCCACTCTGTACTTTATGAGAACAAGAAATAAACTTCTATTATATTAAACCACTGAGATTTGGAGTTTATTAGTTACATACAAAAAGTTAGCTAACCTGAGTCCTACATTTCCACATTTCTTTTTGAAGACAAAGACTGAGGTCACTTAAGAAAACAAACTTTTCTCTATCAAGAATTAAAAGAAGAGCCAGACATGGTGGCGCATGCCTGTAATCCCAGTGGCTGGGGAGGCTGAGGCAGGAGGATCAAGAGTTCAAAGTCAGCCTCAGCAAAATCGAGATGCTAAGTAACTCAGTGAGACCCTGTCTTTAAATAAAATATACAATAGGGCTGGGGATGTGGCTCAGTGATTGAATGCCCCTGAGTTCAATCCCAGGTACCCCCACCTCAACAAAAAATTAAAAGAAGAGAACAAGAAATAGATTACACTGATCTTTGCTTTTCAATGTCTCCTTAGAACTTTGCAATTTAAAGTTAAGACTAGAATTTAAATACTGGCTTCAACATTTATTAGCTTCACAGTCGGGGGCAAGTCAATTAACTTCCAAGGCATTTTATATTGTTAAATTAAAATCATATACATTGAGAGTATTTATGAGAAATTAAATAACGTAACTACCTTGGAACCAAAAAAGTGCTCAGAAATAGAAGTGTGCTAAAACATCAGGATATATAGAAATGTCTAGCTTTCCCCCCAACCCCTATGACCCTTGGGGCTTCTCTTCTCCCTTGCCATTTTATTAAGAGAAGATCAAGCATAGCAAAAAAAAAAAAAAAAAAAAAAAAAAAAAATCATCAGAAATGGGAAGGAGGAGGCAGAACATGTAGGAAGAAACAAGTTATATAGGACAAAGAGCCTCTAAGGTGACAGGAATAGGATAGAGTTAAGAGAGCTCTATTAAAGCATAGGTGATAATAGGTTTTAATAAGCAGTGCAGAGAAGGCTGAAATTCTAAACTAAATCTAACTTATTCAAATGCAACACAGACACAGGACTCAGACTAACAGGTGCATGTAAAGGGTGAGCATTGCAACGGTTGTCATTCTTTATATTCTTCTCATTACTGGAAATTGGAAAACTAAAACTATCAAAATTACACTCCAGGGCAGAAAGTCAAAGTCCCACTGCCTTTAGCAAAAGCACTATTTCACCAAGATTTGCAAGCTTATCTCAACAATTCTTCAATAAAACTGCTATGGTTTGAATACATCCCCCAAATTCATATATCAGAAACTTAATCCCAGTGCAACAATGTTGAGCTTTAAGAGGTGATCATATCTAAGGCTCTGCCCTCACAAGTAGGTTAATACTGTTACCTCAAGGGTGGGTTCCTGATAAAAAGATGAATTCAGTCCCCTCTCTATCACCCTTCTACCTTCCATTATGGAATAACACAGCAAAAAAGCTCTTACCAGATTTCAACATCTTGATATTGAACTTTACAGCTTCTATAACTGTGAGAAATAGAGCTATTCATTATAAATTACCCAGTCTATGTTGTTCTGTTACAATAAAACAAAATGGACCAAGACAACAACCTAAAGACTCATCCTTCAATTGTGTGGCCTCTGGAGATGGCTTAGAACCCCTCTTCTTCTCTACTTAAAAGCTGACTCTCCTTTATAAGGTAGCACAATTAACAGTGATACAGTGAAAAAAGCACTGGTTTTTTAGTCAAGCACACCTGTGCTTGCATCAAAGTTCTGAAAGGAGTTACATGACTTTGGGCCTTAACATTTATCCTTGCTAAGCTTACCATCTTCCTTTATAAAAGGGAGATATTACTGTATCTTTTTAAGACTTCTATAAGAATTAATGCATGAAAAGCATCTAGTACAGTACAAAGTAGCAAGGGCTAAATAACTGACAGCTTGTATTATAATGCATAGACTATAAACTTACAGAATCAAAGCAGTTCAGAAGTAATATTATTGCACCTGTTCCATTTCTCTCATCTTGCAGGTAAGGAAATGTGTATGGTTGCAAAGCTAGATAGCAGTTTAACCAGCACTCCTAACTCACAGGCAAGTACTTTTTTAATTATGACACAATTCACATTCTTATGGATAAGAATACTGGGGGAAAAGAGAAAGAACCTGGGGAACTACTTCTAATTCTTACTCCAATATTCAACAAGTGCCCACCATGTTCAATAGAAACTGCTGCTATGACAAATGAAAGCAGTTAGTTGCAATGTTTCCAATTTAATCTATGAGAAAGTCATAAAATAATTTTATATGGGATATTAGATGATTAAATTTTTCTTTAAATAACTATGGAAAAAGTAATTTTAGAAATGTTCCTCTCAACTAGCCCTCAGGAAAATGAAATGTTAACCTATCTTTTAAAATAATACTTATTTTTCCCAAAATATTATTTTATTTGGCAACAACTAAGTTTTTCCTTAAAAGATACAAAGTTACTTAATGTGACAAATGATATAATAAATGAAATTATACAATATCTGAAAATTACTTCAAAATACCATGGGATAGAAGACATAGGTCAGGCTAGTACACAGAGGAAACAACATTGGGCATTAGTTGATAATTACTGAACTGCCTAATGGATACATGGGGATTCATTACACTACTTTGTCTACTCTTACATCAACTGAAAATTTTCTACAACAAAAAGTTTTAAAAGTCATATTGAAAAAGTAGGCAATAAAACTCTAAATTAAACCATCCAAACTTAAAATCAATTTGATAACACTGGTTTAACTATTATTGTGAGCTTATAGTCATTTATTCGAAAAAAAATATTTGAGTAAATATATATTAGGCACTATGTACACACACACACATACACACACACACACACAGGAAAACAACAGTTGTCACCATCTCAAATCCCTGAAGTTGTTCAAACTATCTGGGTATTAGCATATTAGATTACTAAGAATGTGACAGATGCCATAACAGCACTATGAGAGAAGTGCTAGGGAAGGACAAAAAGGGGATTAATTCATTGTGCTTATGAAAGGAACTGTGTGTTGATGAAGATTCCATAAGGAGAATGAAGACTGGATTTTTTAGCTAGTGGATGCAAAGTTGAGAGTGCTCAGACATTCAAAGTAGGAAAAACTTGCATTGAGCAAAAACAAAAAGGCAAGAGAGAACAAAATATGTGCTGAGAATTGCAAACAGCCTGTGGTATCTGCAGCTAGTGATGAGTAGGGGTAAGGGCAGGAATAAGGCCAGTAAGGTACCCATGGCCACATTTTATAAGCCTTTACATGACAACTAAAGTAATATGAACACAGTCAGGGGTCAATGAAAAGTTTTAAGGCAGAACACACAGAGGCAAATCTATCTACACTTTAGAAGTTACTACTCTGTTAATAGTGTGTAGAGGACAATCAGAAGAATAAAAGATGAGACACCAAAGACATCCACTAAAAAGATGGGGGCCTGGACAAAAGAAGCTGCAGTAGGAACTGAAAAAGATGAGCAAATATTTGGAATATGCAATGAGCTGGATTAGAGACGAGGCTGTACAGAGAGGGGAATGAAGAATGGGAAGACGGAAAGGTCAGAGCAAGGTTTTGAGAAGTGATGTTTTTTCTCTGGAGCATAGAGATGGTTAAATACTGATGGTATTAAGCAACACAGGGAACATGGAAAGAAAAACTAAGTTCAGTTTTAAATGTGTTGGATTTGATGTCTACTTACATTCTATCTAGCAAATAATTTTAGAATATGAGTATGTTCTTGGGAAAGAAGACAGTCACAAATATGTTTGGGTGGCATCTGCATGTTTCCTTTGGTTTGAAACAGGGTCTCTGTTACCCAGGTTGGCCTCAATCTCCTGGGCTCAAGAGATTGAGATCTTCCTACCTCAGCTTCCTTAAGTCGCTGGGTCTACAGGTATCCAGCTCCCAGCCTCTTTTTGTATTATACTTTGTGTTCATTTACTATTTAAAATATTCTTAACATTTAAAAAGTATATAATATCCCAAACCACTTCCCATTTCCTTTTATATCTTTGTAAACCTAGTGCGGTAGGCCCAATAATGACCAATACAAGTTGCAGGCATAACCTAAGAAGTCTAGGCAGGACTACTAGACCCAGGTGGTGAGTGAATCAGAAACTGGGCCAAACCTACACAATAACACCAGCTACCTCTTAAGCACCAGAGACCTTAGATGCCCCATTATGAGGTGCCAAATAAGTTACATCACTTAAAATGTTTCACAAATCTTGATAAGCAACATCCCAAACTACTCACCAGGCCTTGGATCCCGTTCCAGTACACAAATTGAGCCCTGAGCTCTTCTGTTTTTCCCACGGGCCATCATCAACTGAAATTTCGTAGTAGGATGCCCTATGAATTGATAATATAAAACTGTTTGCTAAGTTTATGATTCACAATAAAGAAATAAATAGTCTTCTTCAGAACTGATAAATTCTAAGTAAGTAAGTCAACTTAGCCAAGACATATCTTATTTAGTAGGCACATCTCTCAGGTACTAGTTCCAATTTATGTGAAAAAAAGTTATAAGGAAAAAAAATTGCATGTCTGCATGTCTTTCTGATCCATATTCTCCTTTCTATCTTTAATATTTCAAACAGGGGCTATACATTTTTAGCTAGCATTGCTGCTACTGCTCTTATGAAATCTAACACAGCTTCATATCAGGATTCAAAAAAGAAAATAACATTCTTAGGTAAATTTCATTCTTGATGGTTAGTCCTTGATATATCTAAATCTGTAATTTTTTGAGTTACTAATGGCTTCTGTTAAACTTGTTTCTTAAGTTATATGCTAATACACCACCTTTTAAATTGGTAACAGTTAAAGTTGTAAAGAAAAATTTCAACCAATTCTCTATTAGCAGACAAAACTAAGAAAAAAATTACAACTGTAATTTCAAAAAGATTATATTTCTTAGAACACTGTATAACTATGAAATCAAATGGGTTTCCTGACACTACCAAAAGTGATACTATTCTTTAACTCCATGCATACGTAAATGATTTAAAATTATGCAAAGAACTTCTGAAATGTGTAAAAGCCTATTTTGTAAATTATCTTAAAATAATGGTGTCAACACTAAATTATTTTCAGCAAATACAAATGTTAAATCTTAATAACAACTTTTCAAAATAATGACAATGATTAGACATGATTGCAAACACTAACACTCTGGATGATTTATCACTTACTCTAACCCTTTCAAATTTCTCCTGCAATCTCTTCATTTGTGGTGGTTTTACATAATACAACCTTTTCATTTTTTTCTCTGAAGTTATCATTTCTTATAAAAAAATAGCACACCTACTATGCACATTTAACCTATTTCATAGTTTTGTTACATCTTCCTAGAAAATTCATGTTAGAAGCCTATTATGTACAGACAAGCCAAATCCAGAGAAATGGTTGCTACTATGCTAGAATCAAGTAGAAACAAGAAATTAGAAGTAAGTTGGGGTAGAAGAGAAGTACAAGGGGAGAGAAAGAAAAGCAAGTTGGGTAAGAGATGCTGAGTCAAAAAAATGAGCAAATTTAGTGTCATTCTCACATGCAGGTTTATTGAGATTAGTCAATTTAAAGAATTTTTGTTTTGGGGAAATTATTTTTTTAAGGCAGCAATAAAACTCACAGTCCCTTTAGAGTGGGTATACTTCTTCTTAAATTGTCCACTGCTACAGCCCAAGAATAAGACATTCTAGGTTAGAACAAATAAGAGAAAAGAAAAAAGAGATTGGGCTTTTAAAATGTTCTTAAATCTAAGAACATTATAAATGAGGCAGGAATAATATTGCTGCACTTCATATTTTCCAAGTGAAGTACTTAGGTTTTTGGAACATAGTAAAGCCTCAACATAGGGTCTGGAATCTGAAATAATGGGCTTACATAAAAATTCCAACACTAACTAATGATATAACCTTGGGCAATTTATTTTAACCTTCCAAATTTTAATTTCTTTTCAGTGATAAATTCGACTACCTTTCTCATAGGGTTTTTGTAAGCATTAATGAGATAACAAACAATACACAGCTTGATACATAGCAGACATCCAATAAATGGTCATTTTTTCCCTATAGCTCTTACATCACAGAATCTTTAAAAGTAAGTTTTAATACCCCAATATTTAACCAAGTTCAATAGTATCAGAAACCAACTCACTGCTGCCCTTATCTTAGTAAAGATAGTAAAGAGACATTATCCTTGGGACTTCACTGCCTCCCCACATATATCATCTAGTCCCAGGTTTTTCCTTTTATAAGTTATTTTTTAGTTAAGTACAATGAATAAAGCAATGCTAGTTGAAGCTTGAAGCAGTTAACCATAAATCATTAAATACACAAACAGAATAAAATAAGCCATCAAGTGGCTTGCATAGACAAAGCATAAATTCACAAGACATTTTACCTTTGTCATCTATTTAATTTAATGGACTTTCTCCAATATCACTTGAAGTTGTTGCTGTCTTATGTGTTGGCAATAATAACCAGATTATATCACTAGTTATGGTTACATTTTCTCCTCCTCTCTTTTATCACATAATACTTACTATTCATCTTCATATTGATTCAAACTTGATATATAACCAAAGAAAACAATTTCTATATAGCATAGACCTTACTATGTTAAATACATTTTTACATGTTAGTATATTTTTAAGTTTATTTCCTTGAAGAATAAGGTTTACTTTTAAGACTTTTAAAAATTATATATTTTTCACCCTCCAAAAAATTAAAATACTACCAATGACTTGCACATTGTATCCCCAATGACTAGCACATTGTACATAACAGGTACATGATATATTTTTGATGGATAAATTTGATATTACATACAACAAAAAAATAACAATTCAAAAAGATTATTCAAATCATCCTGCTGACTTAGGTTGTTTTGTTTTTGGTATAGAGATTGAACCTTGGGGCACTTTACCACTGGGTTATATCCTTTGCCCTTATTAAATAAATAAATAAGCTTAATTCTTTTTACTATAACTTGAGTTGATAATAAAGCTATTTACTATTGTCTACAATGTGGATATATTTTAGTTAGACAAATTTTTCTCGTCATAACTAAACTCTTTTTACAAAAGTAGATGGCTTGAAACAAAAGAATTACTAAAAATTCCATGAATTTAGAAAGTTAGGGAATCAATTACACAGCCCCTAAATAGTCACAGGGTTCTGGTAGCAGTAAGTGGGACATAAAACACATACTAATCTTCTTTCCCTAACTTACTGATATCTATAAAAATGATAGGGTCTAAAGTACTGTCAGGTTCTAAAGTACTACCAAAATTTATATTAACTTTACATTATATAAGTCAATTTTTAGCTGGTTAATAAATACATGTCATGCAAAAAATAGTAAAAATAATAAATTGACAAATAAGCCTAAATCACACTTAGGTCCCATACAAGAAATTTTATTGTTAGGAAAGTACATACTATATTTTTATACTACTAATGAGGAACCATATTAACTTTAATTTTTCTTACTAATGGTTATGATTTTGAACTGTATTATGATTTGGATGGTGTTCCCCAAAAGCCAAGAAGGCTTAGAGAAGAAATGATTGGGCTATTAGAACTTTAACCCAATCAGCAAATTAATCCCCCTGATAGGATTAACTGGGTGGTAACTGAAGACCGTTCGGGTATAGCTAGAGGTCGGTCTTTGGGGGCTTGTATTTGGGGTATGCATTTTATATCTGAGGAGTGAAGTCCCTCTGCTTCCTGATCATCATGTGAGCTGCCTTCCTCCACCACACTCTTCTACCATGTTGCTCTGCCTCATCTCAAGTCCCCAAGGAAAGGAGCCAGCAGTCTATAGATTGGGACTTCTGAAACCCATAAGCCCTCAAATAAACTCTTCCTCTTCTACAGTTGTTCTTTTAGTCACAGAAGTGGAAAAGCTGACTAAAACAGAAACTAGTACCAGGAGTGGGGTTGTTGCTGTAATTAACCTGACCATGTGGTTCAGAAGCTTTTGGAGCTCTTAGAATTGGTGGGAGGAATTTTGAGATGCTTAGTAGTACAAGCTGGAAATGGTTTAGACTCTTGTAAGCGGAGCTTAATTTCTACTTCTGGTGGGTTCTCAGAAGACCAGAATACCTACAGGACCAAGGACAGTAAAGACAGGGCTCAAGAGGAATCAGAGGAGGACTCTATTGGAATTTGGAGTAGAAGCCATTCATGTTATGCTCTGGCTGAAAAGTTGCCTGCATTTTGCCCGTGTGCTGAGACTATATGTGAGGCTGATTTTTTAAAGCAAAGGACTCCTTACTGTGGTGGAAGAAATTCCTAGACAGCATAGCAGTCAGGTGGTGGCATGGATATTGCTGGCAGATTGTAGCCAAATTTATTGTGATAATCAGGAGAAGAAAGCAGAGAAAAAAGATATGAAAAACTTAGACTTGAAAGGTGGGTCACTGGGGGTGTGCCTTTGGGGTATGTTTTTGTATCTGGCGAGTGGAGTCTCTCTCTACTTTCTAATCATCATGTGAGCTGCTTTGCTCTACCACACACTCTGCTGCCAGGATGTTTAGCCTCACCTTGAGCCCCAAGGAATGGAGCCAGCTGTATATCAACTGAGACCTCTTAACCTGTGAGCCCTCAAATAACTTTTCCTCCTCTACAATTGTTCTGGTTGGGTCTTTTAGTTACAGCAGTGAAAAAGCTGACTAAAGCAAACTATCAATATAATTTTCTTCAAATGTGTTACACTAAAAAGAACACATTACCACCTAGGTAGCATTCTTGTCAATAACGCCTTATCTGAATCTTATCATGAAGTGAAAACAAAATTATACAAATAAAAAAGAAAAAAATGGTAATTCTGCAAACCAGCTGGCTTAGACTACTCTAAATTATTAATATCATAAATGACAAAACAGGTGGGGCTAAGGAGCTATTTTTAATTTTAAAGGACTACAAATGAGCAGATGCAATATGTGATTCTTAATTGGATCTTGGATAAAGCCAAGCAAACAAACAAATCAACTTTAAGACACTAAGACCAATTAATGGAGAAATTCTCTATTATTTGAGAAAGGTCTTTCTATATGACCCAGGTTGGCTTCAAACTCCTAAATTCAAGCAATCCTCCTAACTCAGTCTTCCAAGTAGCTGGGACTATTGGCATATGCCATTGCACTCAGCTCTAGTGGAAAAATTTAATATGGAATATCTATAATATAGAATATTATACCAATTGCAAATATACACTTACTACATCCCTCATTAAATATTTACAAAGCACCTAATATAATAAAGATACTGGGAAGTATTAAAGAAACCTGATACTGTTTAATGTAGGGTTTCACAAATTTTTCTGGTCATGAACCTTTCTTTTCCCTTAATATGTATCAATAGGTATGATGGTTTGGGGAAAATTTTCATTAAATAATTTCTACTACTTATACAGTATTAATTATTCACAAATCTTAGTCAACTTTTGGACATTAATATCCAAAAAGTACTAACATATTAAATTATATAATCAAGATCATGGGTTTAAAAATACCTGGATGATAGACTCTCCCCAATAAAGACTTCATTTAGAGCTCTCACTGGCAAAAGTTGGGGTCCTGAAGTCTCCGACCCTGCAGTAATAGGAAGGAAAAAAATTACCAAGAGAGCTCCTTGAATTTTAGAAGTATTATAATAAAAATTTGTAAAACATTAAAAATTTACAGTTTTAATAAAATCATATTACCTATTACAGTTAACATATAAAGTAAATATCTTAAAGTATACAAAATATAAACCTTAAAGTCATCTAACCTTATACCAAACAAATGAAGCTTCTGTTTCTCCAGACTAAACCTTATTTATTCTTGAAACAACTTTTCCAGAGTAATAAAATACATTAATTCAATTCACAGTCCTTGTCACAGCTTTATACCCTGCAAGTTTCAGAGGTAAAACTGACCAAGTAGAGCTGTGGTTATAGCTCAGTGGCACAGCACTTGCTTAGTATGTGTGAGGCACTGGGTTTGATCCTCAGTACCACATAAAAATAAATAAATAAAATAAAGGTATGTAAAAAAAGGCAAATATATATTTTTTAAAAAACTGACAAAGTACACCTAAAGAAATGCCATCTTGGATTTAGGTATCAAATTACATGCATGGTTCATGTTAGAAACCAAACTAGAAATGGAAGAATAAAATCAGTTATTTTGTTTTTCAAATAAAACCTCAAAAAAGGTTTTTAGCTACAAAAGCATCATAGAAACACTACAAAATCTCCCTTCAGGACTCCTAAAACATGTCATCTTTTATTTTTTAAAATCTATAAGGCTGTGTGCTTGGTTTAAGTAATTTTCCTTGATGATTATTTAAGCATCACTCCATCCCAGAAAACTCCAAAAGATTTTTAGCGTTTTTTTTTTTTTTGGATCAAACTTGAGATTATTACCTTCAAGAGTCTCCCCTTAACTTCATCAGTTTCCAAATAGAAATGCCAATCTTATCTTCTCAATGTCACAAATAGCAGATTTATTGCACTCAAGTATCACACAATAGACAAGTACCATGTGGCAAGTTCACTTTTCTGTCTCTTCTACCATTTTTCCTAAGTCCATACTTAAAAGTCAATCCCTTTGTGGTAGGCAGCCTCTAAGATGGTCCCCAATGTATCAGGCCTCCTGGTATTCAGACCCTTGTGAATACACCTACTCTCCTACATCAAAAAACAGGGTTGTCCAAACTGACAAATAGAATATGGCAGGTTGGCAGATTAGGAAAGAGGACACTGGCTTCTACATTGGCCCCTCTCTCTCAGCTCACTTGTTTAGGGAAAGGTGTGCAACAAGCAGCCCTCCGGAGATGCAAATGTGCTAAGGAACAGAAGCCACATGCTAACAGGTGATAAACTGGGAAGCCGATTCTCCAGTCCTAATCCCATCTTCAGACCCTAAACCAAAACTACCCAGTCAAGATGCTCCTGGATTCCTGACCCTCACAATCTACATAAGATTATAAATATTTAAAATACTAAATGTTCCGATGATTTGTTACACAGCAATAGACAACAGATACTAATACACAACAGATACTGAATACACTAATAAAGCACCAATGTCACCAAAAACAGTCACTAATCTATTCTCCTCTGACTGGCTAGCATAATTTTATATTTTTATATTTACTAAAGAGAACACCAATTATATTTTTCTTATTTAACTATTCCTTCAAATACAAAATATTGTTATTACAATACAAACAATCTTTTGAGCACCTGCTATTTGCCTAAATTATCAGTTTGAACTCATACTACAGTAGACAAAGTTTGACACAAATGGCTATATGAAAAGACTTTATGCTTTATCAAATCTGACTGCACTTAAGACTGTAAAACAGGCTAATTTTTGAAACCATCTTAATTTGCTACTAGATATATTCATGACTTCCTGAAAGTTTCACAAATGTAAAACACTAAAATTTATTGTTTAAATTTTTTTGGTTTATTTGGTATTGGGGATTGAACCCAGGGGCACTATACCTCTGAGCTACATGCTCAGTCCCTTTTTTTTTTTTTTTTTAATTTTTGAGACAGACAGGGTCTCACTAAATTGCTTACGGCCTCACTAAACTGCTGTGGCAGGCCTCAAACTTGTGATCCTCCTGCCTTACCCTCCCATCCCCCCAGTCACTGAGATTACAAGTCTGTGCCACTTGCCCCACTTAAATTCTTTTTCTTTAAATAAGGTAATTGAAAGAATTTGTTTTAAACTTCCAACTGCCTACAAATTTCCTACACGTATTCAAAAGTGAGTAGTAACTAATAAATTTGAACTGTGGGAACCATATATGTTTTTAAATGTGATCTTGACTTTCCCTATTCCTATTTTCCCTAATTTTCATCTCCATATTAACATTTTTACTGTATGTGCTTGCTGAGTGGACATCTTAAAACTTTTGTCAAATCAAATGATGGAGAGAATAAAATTACTTTATGTTTCATTAATCATCTAATTCTTCCTATATTTTCTTTCATGCTAAGTGACTACCAAACTTTACCTAATCACAAAACTGTCCGTCTATAACTTGTTTCAATAGGACATGAGTCCAAGAGAATGAATTATGAAGTTTTAAACTCCATTTTTTACTATAGAAATGTTAAACTTGTGACAAGAGACTACCACACAGTAATTCTCTCACATTCTCATACTGCTAGATTTTATTTCCACATCAGCTCACACTGGGTTGGAGCCCTGAGCAGGTAATGGCCAATGGAATATGGGCAAAGTGATGAAAAGGCCTGGCTCTTAAAACTTTCTTAAGCTCCTTCATCCTGCCTAGATTCTTCACCCAACAAAAAAAACAGAGGGTACAATAGAAACTCAGAGGCCTTAGAATATAGCAGGAAGCACAATTTGGAAGGAGCCTGGATTGCCTAAACACCTCTCAGTGTTTGATCTAGAAATAAAATGATCTAGAAATAAATAAATATTGCATTAATCCACAAATATATCAGGTATTGTTTGTCAAAACAATTCACCTCTCTAATTAGTACAACCAGCCTAGAAAATAAGAAAATTACTAAATTATTAATTTATAGGGTACATTGTCATGTACTTTTTAAAAAAAAAATTTTTTTAATTCTTTTTTTGAGTGGGTGGTATTAGGGACTGAACCCCGAGGCCCTTTACCACTGAGCTACAATGCCCAGTCCTTTTTATTTTTTATTTTGAAGACAGGGTCTCACTAAGTTGCTAACGATGGTCTTGAACTTGCAATCCTCTTGTCTCAGCTTCCCAAACCACTGGCTCGGATTACCCAGTTCTTGTATTATTTTTTTTATTTTGAACATTTTTTCTCTTCTTTTTGTACAACTCCCATTAATCAGATGTGAACATCCTGGACGTAAATTTATATGTACTTGTTTCTATATATGAACTACTTAGTTTATAAACTAAATCCACTGAATCTGAGGTGGGTATCTAAGTAGTGAATCTCTGTATATCAGTGTACATATTTTTTAAAATTAAATGACTACTGATGAAAAGGGCCAATTCACCATCTTTTGAATACAGCAGTAACTTCTTTCAGTGAGTGAAAAGTAAAATATCTATGATTTTAAAATATTAATAGTTACTAATGGTTTTTTAACAACCATAGCAAGAATTCACAAGGATATAATTTCTTTAAAATTTTCTTAAAAATCAAGTGGGGTTTTATTTGAGGGAAAAAAAAATCACTTTTTCCCTTCTCTTACCGGCAACTGAACCCAGGGGTGTTTTGGCACTAAGCTATATCCCCAGTCCTTTTTATTTTTTCATTTTGAGACAGTCTCACTAAATTGCTGAGGCTGGCCTGGAACTTGGGATCCTCCTGCCTCAGAATGAGTCACTGGGATTACAGGAGTGAACCAGTACACCTAGCAAAAATTATACACTTTACAAGCTTGTTAGACTATAAATCTATAAACTACCATGAAAAAGCTCTGAAAGAAAATAAAAAGGATATAAACATCAGGTAGCATGACAGAGCAGAGACAGAAAGCAAGAAAGTAAAATATAGATTCCTGATAAGTTTACCCAGAAAAATGAAACATTGGAGGAAAAAAGTATCTTTTTATACAGTCTACAAATATTTCTCTTGGGATCTTCCTGCACCAGGAGAATCTTACAATTTCTGGAAAACTAGAAAAATTTAGCTAAATAATAATCCATAAATTAGCTCACAATTGAGAATTCACCTTAACCCTTATATAAAAAAGGTACAAATTACCTTCCCTTTATATTCTCCTTAAAATACTTCAAATGCAAATCTTAAAGCTGGAATGCAAATTTTCCCAACAAAAAGTGTGGTTTTATTTTGTTTAGGTACAGCAATTGAACCCAGGGGCACTTAATGACTGAGCCATGTCCCCAGCCCCTTTTTTTATTTTTTATTTTGAGACAGGGTCTTGCTAAGTTGCTTAGGGCCTCCAATTGCTGGGCTGGCTTTGAACTTGTAATCCTCATGTCTCAGCCTCCCAAATACAGGGATTACAGGCTTGAGCCCCTGTGCTGAGCTAAAAGGTTTTATTTAATAATAACAGTAACTATGGTAAATGTACCTTAAGGTATAATATGAAATTTTCTCCAGATTAGCTCATTTTATATCACTGCTTTTTCTTTTCTCTTGACATTTCAAAGAGTAAGTCCAAAGATCTTCCCTTAAATATCAACTATTCATTTAGGTATTTCATAATCTTTCCCTGATCTAGTTTTTAAACCTGTTCCAGAAAACATTTTCTCTAGAAATATGCTATATTTCTTACTCTGGATTTTAATTACAATAAATTTTACAGCAGAAGGACTTCACTGTACTTCCTTAAATATTGTCAGGGGCACTAAGTTAACTATAAATTATACCCCATAGAATTAGAAGTCAAAAGAACCAGAAGTTAAATATTGCCCTAAACGCTGATTCTTATTTCCAATCTACCTACTTTCATCATCAACTCTTTCAATGTTGAAGGCTCTGCTATGCTGATTCAGACTTAGTTGCTGTTCATGAAGATCCACAGGAATGGGGTTTATGCCAGTCCCTTCAAGGTATAACCTGATACGCTGCCTCCATAACCACCTTAGAAGAGTAAAGAAAAGAAAGTTAGGCTAAAATAGAATACACTACACTAAGGATTAGACAAAATAATAAATTTAAAAAGTAAAAATGCATATTCAAAACAGGCTATTCTATGATAAATTATACCAGAAACACCTAAAATCCAGGTTCCTGTTCAAAGACAGATTCGGATGTTTATTTTTCTTTTCAGTTATAATGGAAATACCTAATATATTCATACAAAGTCTTCCAAGTAATTTGAACTAAAATGAAACCCTTTTATCAGGAATCCATTAAGTCCTGGACAACTGAGCTAGACATAGTCTTATATTTTCCTCAGCAAAAAGTATTATACAAGAAAAAAGTATTCTAAAATCAAAAAAGTATCATGTTAAGGTGGTTGTATTATAGTCCCCAAAAATTTCATAATGATGGTATTTTTAAGGTAATAAAAGGGAAAAGATTAAAAAGTAACAAATGTAATGTTACACTAAAGTCTTATATGATGCTTTTGGTAAAAGTAAAGAAAAAAGGAATTGTGTTTAATTGATTTCAAAACCAATAGGACAGATTCTGCTGGGTAAGCATACAAAAGTATATTCCCACTTGGGGAGTTATAGTAATTTCTATAGGTATCAAATTTCTGAAATAACCTAGAAACTGAAATCAATGATAATAAAGTGGTGATTCTAGAAAAGTCAAGATTTTGGAGTGCAGTTGAGTAGGAAGAATAACTTTTGTTCTATAACACAAAAGGATGACTATAGTTGACATTAATTGAATATTTAAAAATATCTAGTAGAAAGGATTTTGAATGTTCTCAATGCAAAGAAATAATAAATGTCTGAGGTGATAAATATGCCAATTACCCTGATCTGATCATTATACATTATATACATACATCAAAATGTAACATTATATCCTATAAATATGTACAATTACTATGTGTCAAAATAAAAACATTTTTTTAAAAAAGTTAAAACAATTTTGTAAATATATAGGGAAAAAGTTTCTTCAAACTACAAAAAAGTAGTCCAACTTGGCTTTCCCTATCTCATATATAACCAGCTAACCCTATCTCAGGTTCTGTATCCACTAGCCTCTTTTTATGAACATATGAAGTAAAAAGAAACTTTTTAAAATCTCCTCTCTGCTTCCCAAGAAACACATAATATGTAAGACAGAGATACCAGGAATCTCAGCACTGCTGGATTAAATATCCAACCCTACGTTCGTTACTGGATAAAAAGTAAATATAAAAAATACAAAATCTCAAAATTTGAACCTTCAATTTTAACAAACAGTTTTAACCATTTTTCTATTAAACTGCTAAAAACATATTATAAGGTTAAGAAAGTAGAGACAGGTCTCTATCACACTGAAAAAGAAAAAATTCTACTTGTATTTAAGGCCAAGTAACATTTGTCAAGGTTCTTTTACAGGATTCCAAGTGGACTAGGGGAAGGTAAGTCTGATCTGTTCATGACTCAGGTGATATATTACATTTTATGGCTACTGCTATAACTATGAAATAATCCAAATATCTGACTTGTTCCATTTAAAAAACATCATTACTAATAGTACATACTTATTAAATATAAAAACAACAGTAAAAAAATTCCTACCTGAACTCACCACGATAGAACTTCTGTAAGGCTTCTGGGAAGGAATGTGTATATCGAACAGGCAGACATAAGTGACCCTCTGACCTTTATATTAAAAGAGATTTTAGGGTGGTGTAAAGGGGAGAAGAAAAAAGGTGAAGGAAAAAAATTCAAAAAGTATCACTAAACTACAAAAATCAATTTGAAAATTTTTAAAATTCTATTCTATACTTCATTTTTTGCCACAGAACTGTCTGTACTTTCAACAAGAATGGAAATAGTAGTTGACATCAGTTTTAATGTCAAAATATAAAGTTCCCACATTATGGTGAAACTAAAAATAAGAGCAAATCTACTATTAACTACTCTGTTATCTAATAGTTTAGTGATATTTTCATTTTACCTTTAAATTTTTTAACTATTACCTTTGGACAACCACTTTAGTATCAATATCCTTATTTCTAAAATCATGATAAAACCATCAATCATGAAAGGTTATTCTGAGGAACTATTTATACAAAAGCATTTTGAACCATAATCCCTTTTTAAATGTCATTTAAGATATTCTTAAATAAAAACAGAACTAAGAAAGTTTAATTCAATTTTCATTTATTTAAAAAAATATATAAGAATGAACTTCAACAAATTCATAGATTGAAGAAGAAAACAAATTGCAAATTTCAAAGTGGTAAGATTCCCTGTAAGTTGCTACAGGAAAATGAGACCATATGGCTCCCAATAAAGTCCAGCAAGACAACACATCATCATTTGTATGCTGCTTTGATCTTGAAGGAATGACTGAAGGTAGGCTTGGCAAAATAAACTCATGACAACAAATTTAAATTAATTTATAAACATAAAGTGAGGAGACAAAAGGTTTTGCCAAGTTGTGACTAGTCAGTTCCTTCATCTAAGAGGGTCAACACTGAAGTTAAGAAAAGACAGGGTCTAAGTTTTTAAATTTTTTAATTCACTGTAATACTTCACACAGTATTAAGTATATAAAAGGTCTCAACAATCATTTGATAGAACAATACCTGAGGTCAACTGCAAGTCTGAAACACTGTAGAGAGAAGATCTCTCATGAGATTATAGTCACATCTCAATCAGGACTGCAAGTTTCTGAGGGCTTGACATGAGCTATCAGATCCACTTTCAGGTTGCTCAATGTTGGCAAACTGCTGCTGGCTGTTGGCAGGAGGCCTTGATTTCTCTCCTTGAGAGGCTCTCCAAAGGGCTGCTTGAGTGACCTCACATCATATAACTGACTTACCCCAGCATGAGCAATCCAAAAAAATAATACAGAAGTTGCAATATACCATTTATGACTGGCCTTGTAATCCTCACATTGTCAAACCATATTTTGTTGGTCCGATAGACCAGCCCTGATTGAAAACAGAGGGAGAGAGGACACAGAGAATATAAATACCCAGAGGCTGGCTACCGCTTGTCCTCTACTCATTTTCAATATTAATCACTCAAATGTTCATTATTTACCAAGCTCAGTAGAGTAGTTAAAGAATACAGAAGACAGACTGAAATCACATCTAATTTAGATGAATGAGTCTAAGTGTGTGAACCATCTTGGAAGTGGATGCTCCATACCAAGTGAAGCCTTCAGATGCCTGCAGCCAAGCTGATGTCTGACTATGACCTCAGGAGAGACCCCCAACCCCAAACTACCCAGCCAACCTCCTCCTGAATTCCTGATACAAAGGGAACACAAGAAATAATAAATAATTGTTTAAGGCCACTAGGTTTGCAAGTTATTTGTTATGTAACATTTCATAAATAATATAGAAAAAATCTGAATTTGAGACAATCTGAATTAAATAACAATATGTTATGTCAGGAGGCCTAACATATTCACCTAGTGTCAAGAAGAGAAAACAATTTTTGAAATCTGCTATTCTAGGGAGAAAATAGCTATATTAGCACAATCTGCTTACCAGTTTCAAAATCCCCACAAGTTTATGAATATTAAGTCAGCTCTTTAAAGAAAAATATAGTTCAACAAACTGTAAAATATGATTACTAAAGTATCTCATACCTTAATGATACAAATAGGCTAGTAAGAAATTCTAAATCCCAGATATCAACCCTGAAGGCAATCAAAAGTTAATTATTGGACTAATGATCTCAATTATTTACACTCAGGGAATATTTACACAGCTAGATTGAAGTCCTAGCCCTGCTCCTTAAGACCATTTAATTAATCAGTCATTTTTCAAATGTTTATTGCCCCACACAAAAAATTATGCTAATGATAGAAATTAAAATACAAGGTCCTAAATGTATAGTCTAACAGAAGAGATAAACAGAAAATAATATAAAGGGAATGCTCTCTGGATACAGACTCCAGTTAGAACCCAAGAGAGGAACTGGTCTTGAATAAACAAAAACTATAGAAATGAATTTGTACACTCAGTCTTAAAGGAATGGCTAAGGATAGGCTGGCAGAGGTACATATAAAAGCACACACATACAAAATGAGCATTCCAACCAGTGGTGGCACACGTCTGTAATCCCAGCAGCTCAGAAGGCTAAGGCAGGAGGATCACAAGTTCAAAGCTGCCTCAGCAATTCAGCGAAGCCCTAAGCAACTTAGCAAGTTCCTGGATATGTGGTTCAGTGGTTAAGCACTGCTGGGTTCAATCCCTGGTACCAAAAAAAAAAAAAAAAAAAAAAGGCATTCTGGAGAAGTCTCACCTTTTCAAATCATGCACTATTTTATGTATCAACAAAGCTTCTCACCAGAGTAAGAGCAGCTCAGAGCCTCCATACATGGTATTAGCAGATACTCATACAGTTAGATTTTGTCCTAAGCCTTTAGGAAGAATCCTAGGCTGTTCCCAGAAGGGTTTCAATATGTGTATATAATTTTGTAGCTGAAGAATAGAATGCCTGTGAGTATATGAGGATAGATGAAACTAGAAAAGCAGATAAGTAACAGATGTTGAAAGATCATACATATTAACTAAGGAATTTGCAATGTCTCTTAAAGGCAATAGGAAAATCCTAAAAATTTTTAATTAAATCTTTTCATTAAGGTTTGAATATGAGGTGTCCCTGTATTAATGCTCCTGTGTTAATGAAGATGAAATGAAAGCTATAACCTAATCAATAGATGAATCCATTTGATGGATTAATAATTTGAATGAACTAACCGGGTAGTAACTGTAGGCAGGTGGGTCATGGCCAGAAGCAGCAGATCACTGGGGGCAGGTTTTTGGAATTCATATTTTGTCCCTGATACCTCTCTCTGCTTCCGTGTGATGTTCTGCCTCACCTCAGGACCAAAGCAATGAAATTGGCCAACCGTGGACTGAACCTCTGAAACTGTGAACCCAAATAAACTTTCTTACTCTTGTTCTGTCAGGTAATTTTGTCACAGCAACAAAGAGCTAACACAGAAGAAATGGATATAATCAGATTTACATTTCAGAAGATGGCAAAGTGTAAAAGATGGGTTGGAAGGTGAGAGATTGAGAGTTATTGGAATGATTTAAGCTATGCTTAGTGGCAGCCCTAGGACAACCAGGCATGGACTCAAGAATAAGATTCCTTAAACTTAGAATCAATTTGATGATACAGTGAAGGAGAAGTAGTCACATATGTGACTCGGGCATATGTGATGATTCCATTCATCAAGCATGACAAAGAGAAAAGGAGAAATCATTTGTAGATAGGCTGCATTTTCTTTTGTTTTTGTTTTAATTTCTTTTTTTTTTTTTTTAGTTGTAGATGGATCCAATACCTTTATTTTATTTATTTATTTTTATGTGGTGCTGAGGATCGAAACCCAGTGCCTCATGTGTGCTAAGCAAGCACTCTACCACTGAGCTACAACCCCATCCCTGATATGCTGCATTTTCAATACATCCAATCAAAGCCCATAGTGCTAGAATATCATGAAAAAAGGGAAAAATAATAGAAGAGAAAGAGTACAGAAAGGAGCCAGATAATATAGAGCCAGATAATGTAGAGTCACTGTGATCAACTGTCCCCCAGTTTGCCTGGGACTGACAATTTCCTGGGATACAACACTTTCAGAGCTAAAATTAGAAACTTCCTAGGAAAAGCAGAATGAGTTGGCCAAGCCAGCCTCACCAAAGAATTAAATTCTATTCTGAATTAGAAGGAAGATCACCATAATACTCTGAGTACAGAAGTCACATAATATCATTGCTAGCTGCAGCAAGAAGAGACTAAGGATGAGAATGGAAGAAAGAAGATGGTAGAAAGAATGAAGGAGTAAAAAAAATGGTCCAGAGCACAACAGTAATTAAGCAGTGACCAAAAAGTAAAATCCTTCAAAAGACACAAAGAAGTAGTCATAGAGAAGAAAGCACATCATAAACACCAATGAAGTATACATGCAGCAAATGAACAGTCAACACTACAAACTTTCCAGGAATCTAGTAAGAAAAGGACTAAAATGTCCAGTAAACTCAGTAACTAGGAAGCCACTGAGATGTAAGGCAAACGCATCATCAATGAACTAGTCAGGGGAAAATTCAGAAAAAAAAAAAAAAACTGCAAAGATTTAGAAATAATTGGGCAGTGAGGAAGCAGAGATAAAAAGCTAGGGGCTAAAGGGAAGGAGATGGGATAATAAACAACAGAGAAATTTTCTTGAATAAATAGAAGTCTGGCTAAGAGATTTAAGGCTAAGAGAAAGTAGATGCAAAAGAAGAAGGGAAAAAAGGAACAAATCATAGAATAAGATTTTTTTTCCCCTGAGAAAAATTAGGAAGTTTCATTTCTTGTGTGAGAAAAGAGAGTCTTATTGAAGGAAGGAAGGAAGGAAGGAAGGAAAGGGATAAGAGCAGTATTGAAAAGCTGAGGAGCCAATCTTAAAGTAGCCACCACAGGAAATGGGAAAGAGAGATGACCAGGGCTGCCTGTACAGGCAACTCTAAGGATCCTGTTCTAAGCCCTGAAGACTTCAACTTGGAAGTGCCCACGTTTCTATGATCTCTTTCCCCAGATATCTTTCCAACCCTATTATAGTAGTAGAAAGAATATAACAGACTGATCTAGGAATGAATAAAAATATTTAAGAAACTGTCAAGAAAGTAAATAAAGTGAAGAATTAAATGAAGAAAACAAGGGAGGCTAAGCACTCATTCAAAGGGCGGATTTACTGGGATAAGGGAATAAAACTGCTGTTAAGGTAGGAGACTATGTTCAGAGTGGATTGTAAAGAAGGGAAAATTCCAAATGATCATAAAGTCCAGGTATGGTAATGGCTGTGAATGACTGGAATAAAATAAGGTTAAATACCAGTGAAGCTGGGAAAGAAAAAAAATTAAATAAACACAATAGTGTTTGGATAGGTCTATTCTTGAAGTAAATCAGAACCATCAGCATAATTAGGAATGTAATAATTAGGAAGGACAGAAGATGGAATATTATTAACTTATCCCTCTTCAGCACATATCAAAAGTCCCAACATACACTTGTTCAAGAGCTCAGGTCTATTCTACCACAGATCCTACTCTCAAACAACCTAAAAAGCTAAATATGAGGACTAGTCCATCCCATAACACAATTAACACCAACACCAGAGAGATGCATATGTATTTCTCTGTCTGAGCAATAATTAGATCTGTCCTTGAAAAACCACATAACAGACAACCCTAGTAAAGACGGTGAATCATTCTATATGCCAAATTTTTATCACTGTTTTGGAACATGGTTCTAATGTTCATGGTAGCCAGAAATGCTGATGCTTCTATTTAAATATCATGTACCACAGTAAAATTCCTCTAACAGAGCCTAACAGTATGACTACAGTAAATAAAAAGTAGTTTGCTAATTTTAAGATTTCTCATACATACTATATAAAAAAACATAGAATTATCTGTACATATAACTTGAAAAGAAAAAAAAAAAAAACCCACAAACAAAATGCAAAAAGAACCTGTTCTTCCTTACCGTTCTGGATCAGTGTTTACCCCTATAACTGGTTTCAGTCTATCCAAGACTCTACTTGCTGCCAGAAGCATTGTGCCATCACCTGTGACAAAAGACATAACCAGACCTATGTTTTACAACCTGTTTTTTTACATCATTTTCAAAACGACCACCTTTGTTTTAACAATCACATCCTACCATGTTGACTGCCAGAGCCTCCCCCTCTCTTCCTTTCTACCTCCTCTACCTATGTTATTATCCCCACCACTCTAATTCTGAATTTCAAAGGTAGCAAAACTGACATGGTAAGCAGAAAAATTCTTTGCTGCTGGGCTGTCCTGTGCATACAGAATGTTTAGCAACATGTCTACCCAGTTGGGAACCACTGCTCCAATCCCAAAATTTATCTTTCCTCCTCCTATAACACCAGTCCAAATTCACAAATTATTTTAGTGAGAACACATGAAGTGTCCAACTTTAGAGTCTTCTAACAACTATTGTCAATGTAAAGGTTTAGAATGGATGGTCAGTATCAATAATACAGTTCAGGGAAAAAAAATTAGTGTAAGTATATTGGAGCCAAAAAGGGACAGAATTTATCTAGTTTCACTACACTATCAACTTCATTTTTTCTTTTTTTAAAGACTAGCATAAACCAAAATACAATTAGAACTAATCCTCTGAATTATATTTGAAGTTAAAAGCACACTTTAAACATACACACAGAAATACATAGGTGAAACCTCACAGTAAGATCATTAATTATAAATATGGAATATTGTATAAAACAGAGATGTTTCTTCAGGCATGGTGGCACACACCTATAATCCCAGCAACTCAGGACACTTGAGGAGGCAGGAAGATTGCAACTTCAAGAACAGCCTCATCAACTTAGCAAAACTCTGTCTCAAAAGTAAGAAATAAAGAGGGCTAGGGATATCTCAATGGTAGAGCATTCCTGGGTTCATTCCCCAGTACCACAAAAATAAATAAATAAATAAATAAAACTTGCCTATTTTAAAACTTATCCTTAAAAAAAAGGGGGGGAGGCTGCGGATATGGCTCAAGCGGTAGCACGCTCGCCTAACATACGGGGGGCGTTGGGTTCGATCCTCAGCACCACATAAAAATAAAATAAAGATGTTGTGTCCACCGAAACTAAAAAATAAATATTAAAAAATTCTCTCTCTCGCTCTCAAAAAAAAACAAAAAAACAATTTGTCTTCCGGTAGGACTCCAAAGTCTTGAAAATAGCTATATGAAAACATATTTGGAAATAACATGTATTAAAGAACGTTTCCACAATCCAACATCTTTATTTCTATAAGACAGTTACCTCCTGCAGCTATGACTGCATCTGCCCACCGAACAGTCTCTTCATCATATTCTCTCCTCTTTACCAGACGAACCTCAATTCCTTCTTTCCTAAGATAAAAAAGTAAAGGTTTTATAAAATTTTCATTGATAACATATGAGTAGGTTTTCTCAGAGGCAAAAGAGACATAAAATAATTTTATGTTGCATAAGCAAATCCATGTGTAGCTTTATACAATTTCTTTTCATTTAATAACAATAGCCAATTCACTATGATAAGTCAGGAGGCAAATGAATAAACTAAAAGGTATCACCAGAGTCTCCAAAGTGCTTTAAAAACATTCTTTATAACTAACAACAGTACTGATCAATCAGAATTTCATCTCATTTTCTCTACTCCTTCTGAGACTAAAATGTATTGATACAAAAATGGTTCAAAAGACTAAACTAGACAATTTTTTATAAAACCTAATAGCTGTTATTTGAAATTCAACACATTTCACTGAGTGGCAGACACTAAAACAGAGAATAAAATACTTTGCAATTTTCATGTTCTCATACTGATTCTCTAGTACACACATAAACATTTAATGACTACATTTAGTCCCAGGTTAACTTATTTCTTAATAATTTTCAAACACTCAAAAGAATATTATAATAAACACCATATAATCTACAATTCTTCTTTACGAAATAAAACATTATATATATACAATTGTAGCCTGCTGTGTACTGAATTAACTCTTTGCATTAAAGGCACTTCTGTGGCAGACCAAATAACTGAAAATACCTATGAAATTTTCAGAGTACAATAAAAATTTACTTTCAGAAAGCTATAAAATCAGGTCCATTAATCTCAACATAATATTCTAAAAAATTATTTTATCATAACAGTCTTTACTAAAAATTTAAGGATTAGCTACTAGTACAAAATAAAAAATTCCAAGTCTTAAACATAAAAGCCCACCCATGACCCCATCCCACAGACTTACCGTAAACTATCTATAATATGTTCTACATTTTTGGTGTGAATATGATGTCGTTCAAGTAGTCCACTGTAGCTAGAGCCTTTCAATGCAAGCTATATCAAAATATAAGAAATGTTGTTTTACTATTTATTATATATGATGTTATAATATTACATCTTTTAAAAGACCTATATAGAATTTTCTTATAGGTATATTTTAATGACTATCTGTGAAACCTACAAGGTCAAATTGAACTAGAAAGTCTGATTTCAGACAAGCTTAATTTAGTTTGAATATCAAATATAGCATTAAGTTTAAACAGGATATCAAAACTGCAAGTTTTAAAGTTTAACAGGTTTTTTTGTTTGAGTGTTTCTTTTTACTATATTACTTATAGTTTCTTTTTACTATATTACCTGAAGACCAAAGACAAACTAATATTGTTAGAGGCACTTAAGATGACCTTTATTCCACTTGGATTTACTATTCTTGTGTTCAGACTTATGAACTGTATTTGAAATTTACCCTACACAATTTACACAGAGTTGATTAGCCCCCTGAGAAAGGATTTTTTAACTTACAGTCACATATCCTTCAACATTTATTTTTCCTAATTGGTTGGAGTAGTACCGTATAACTATCTTACCATTAATAGTTTCCTTTTAAAGTATATGTCTTCTAAAGAATCCACAGAGTAAAATGTTGAGAGAAGCTCAGAAATATCCTCAATGAACATCCATTTTAATCAAGTAGAAAATCTGTACATTGGAGTAAATACTAGTAGAATTCAAAAGCATGTTATTTTTCTTCCCTCTTCCAAATTCCTTTATAACTTTCTTTATGGTACAGAATCAACTTTTCAAGTACTTATCCAATATAAAATCTTAAGTGTTTTATTTTATTTTAAATCACTATACTATTTACTAAATAACATATAAGGTAAAAGCAAATTTTAAACAATAATCTTAATGAGTATTTGTTTTCTTTTCCTTTTTGAGGAGGGAGAGGGATTGTCAGGGATTGAACCCTGGGCCTTACACATGCCAGATAAGCACTACGCCAAATCCCAGTCCTTCCTGTTCTGGACAGGGTCTCAGCAACTTGCCTAGGCTGGCCTCAAACTTGTGATCTTACTGCCTCAGCCTCCTGTGTGCCATCTCGTCCCCCTTTCATTTTACTTTTTTAAAGTTATAAACATAACACTAACAATATGGAGGATGCATAAAGAAAATTTTAAAATAACCTTATTACTCTGGGATAATTTGTGTTAATACTTTGTTACCTGTGTTTCCAGTCTTTTGCCTACAAATACTAAGAGTATTAAAATAGTTTGGTCCTCACTTTATAATCTAAGGATAACATATATTCCTCAAAAAAAGGAGCTAAAGATACATTTGGCTACTGTGAAAATACATAGATGACAATTCTCAGTAGATTAGAGAGTTTGTTCAAGAATTTATTGCCTATCCATAAACCTCATTATATTTAGAGCCAATCAATGTCAAAATGTTATTTTAGAAGGGAAGTATGACAAGGTAATAACTGGATAATCCTTCATCTACTTTAATCAATAAATCAGGTTTGAAAAACTATTCTTAGAGAAGAATTTCTAATTATGGATGAACAAAGCATTAACATTCAGACTACTGCTGTCATTACTCAGCCATGGATTGATTGACCAAAATTGGACTACCTACCTCCCAAAAGTACAGACTGAAGTGTCTTTCTTTTCTCTTTTCCTGTGATCGCTAGTTTCAAGGTTTTAAAAGAAACCTGTATGTTGTACAGATGATTCCAAACTGCTATCCCTAACCTTTAGGGTTCAACATGATTTATCCAACTATCTGTTTGACATCTTTCTTAAGATGTCTAACAGGCATCTCAGATTAACATGTTCAACATCAAACCTTTCATTTTCTACCTCAAGGATTCTCCACGTAAGACTTAAGCCAAAAATCATCCTTTCCCCCCTTATTCTCACATCCAGTACTAAATCCTAGGTCTGATACATGTACATCTTTCCTCCTCACCACCACTTCTCATGATCTCACATTTGAATCACTACACAAGCCTCTAATCAGGGCTCCCGACTTCTACTCTTGGCCCCTGTAGCATACCATGCATGTCTCACTCTCAGCTTAATGCCAAGAGATATGGAGGTGTCTTGACTATCCAAGGACTAGCTGATCTGACTTCTGCTCCCTTCTCCTACCTCATTTTCTCTTTTCATTCCCTACATTCTAGTCTCATTGGCTTATTCTCACAAAGCTGTTTCTTCTTTGCTTGCTGGAATGTTCTCTATCCCCCAGCACAATCCTGGCTCTTCTCTACTTTGGGTTGTGAGGACAGTAGCTATTGGTGCTGCAGTCTCAGCTACAACAGCCACCACTGCCAATTAATCCATTCCAAACCTGTTAGCTTCCTTAAAAGCATTTATCACACCTAAGATTATCTTGGGTATTTTTTTTTAAATCTCTTTGTCTCCCCTTCCTAGTATGTAAATACCAGGAGAGCAGTGATCTTATATTGTTCACCACTGTACCCTCAGCGCCTAGGTGCTGGACAAGTAAGTATTTATTGAATAGATTCATTCGTTCGTGCATGTTTCAGCTTTGGGAGTGGGATTGCTTAGGACACGTTTCAGAAAAGCAGAATAGGACACATGCAGATGCCGTAGAAAGTAACTCAGCTAAGTGACAAAAGTGTGCAAAACAGGTCACCTTTACCTGGTCAAGAGGGAACACAGGAAGATTAGTTATTGTAGTACATTATTTTGTTACAGGAATTGCTTTTCACGATCACTTTACAGTGAACACTTTATGTAGAATTAAGCTCTAAAATTATATGTATTCAATATACTGACTACAGTGTTCTTTTTTTCCCCTGTGTTCATTTAAGAATTAGTTGAGTTCGATCAAATGTATTTTAAATGGAGCACTGAAAGTTGCCAAGGACTCCAAGAATGAATACAAACACACAATAAGTCTATTACAACATTTTGTCAAATTGACTGCTTCTGACCTGCTACAAATAAAACTTTTAAGGGTAGCTTAAACTGCAATTCCCCATCCAAATTTTTGATATGTTACAATTTTGGGTTTGGACTATATAAACCTTAGCCCTGTAAATTCTATTTTGTTGTTTAGAAATGTATGAATTCACTTCCTTGTCCTCAGGAGGCTCCAGGAAATTCAGAAACTCAGCAGCTGATTAAGTGGCTTAAGATAGTGAAAAAGTCTAGTTTGTGGGGGAAAAAAATCTTTGAGAACAAAAACTTCAACTTTTCTATGATTGCTAGCAACACTAAAATTTCTTAAATTCCAAGTCTAAATATGAAGTTCACTTAGTATCAGAATACTCAGCATTGGAGCAGAAATGTCATTTCATAAATTCTTATTCCCACTCAAACTTCTTCTTGTAAACTAATTCTCTAATAAATCATGTTCAACATTCATTTAGCAAATACAGGTCTTTGTATTACTTATTTTCCTTAAAGCTCCAGCTGGATGGTTGACTGAACTTTATTAACAAGAAGTAATCTAGGGGGTTGGGTATATAGCTTAGTTGGTAGAGTGTTTGCCTCCCACACACAAGGCCCTAGCACCACACACACACACACACACACACACACAAAAGTAATCTAGGCAGATAAGTGAGAAAGCATTTAAGAAAATCACTTAAACAGCATCAACTACAAAGTTTTAACGTACTATTCAACTGGCTCTTACATTTGTATAATATGCAAAAAACTGGTAAAAATTTTACTATTTCTAAAAATAACAATTTTAAACATCTTAGTCATAAAAAAATGAGAACAACATGAATTCTTATAAAATGTTTTACAAAAGGTTAGAGAAGAAATGTAGAATGCATTCTGATCTCTGCAATGTTCCACATTAGTAGCCAAATAATTTTTTCAAAACTTGTTAATCCTTCTCTCCATTAAAAATAATGAATATAAAGACACTTAAAGGTGCATCTAAATGGATAAATAACATATGGTATATACACACAATGGAATATTACTCAGCCATAAAGAAGAATGAAATTGTGGCATTTGCCAGTGAATGAATGGAACTGGAGAATATCATACTAATGAAATAAGCCAATCCCAAATAACCGAAGGCCAAATGTTCTCTCTGATATATGGATTCTAATCCATAACAAGGGAGGGTAAGGAGGAGAAGTATAAAGTTCATTGGACTAGACAAAGGGTAATGAAGGGAACGGAGTGGAAATGGGGGGAATAGGAAGACAGTAGAATGAATCAGACATAACTCTCCTATGCTCAAATATGAATATACGGCCAGTCCTCCACATCATGTACAACCACAAGAATGGGATCCTAATTGGAATAGGTTGCACTCCTTGTAATATGTCAAAATACACCCTACTGTCACGTATATCTCAAAACAATAAAAAGGTGCATCTAAAATATCTATAGACGAATACATTTCAGTAGTAAGCAACATTTTCTCCTATAAAAACTGCCAAAAAGCCAGACTTTGCACATTTTAAGGTCAGATGTTACAGTTTTATAATTTTCTAAGTGGTCTGTGACACTTTCATTAAATTATCACCAACATTTTTTACTTAATCCAAACAAACACATTACAATTACAAATTTTAAAACTTGGTTTACCACTCATTTGAGTGTTACTATTTTGTACTTCAAGCAATTTCTATGAAAGCTCAATAAGGGAAGAAGTTCTGTCTTCTTAAATTTAATACATCTGAGATGCAAACTTTTGAGATAAGAGCTTAAATAAATGCACTCTGAATAATTTAAGTATCCTTAAAGTCATACACACTTAACCAAGTGGTAGACTCAGTATTACTAAAAATTGCCTAATTAAGAATTAGTAAATCCAATATTCACCTATTATGTTCAGGCCTAGTGCACTGACCCCTACAGATTTTTTTTTAGATATATCTGATATTTACCTTGGATGATTTCTATTCACTTACTCTTTTTCCCAGACTCTCACCTTTACTTCCCCTATTGTTCTCTACTTCAGTGTTCCTTTTGTTAATTCTGTTTACTTCCTCTCTTATACTTGGTATTGCTCCATCTTTGGTATCCTTATCTCCCCACTCCAGGGATTTGGCCTAC